GCCTCGGGCGAGGCATCGTAGCGAGTCCCTAGGTGGGTTGGGTCAACCGGCGATTCTTTCATAAATCAAGCAAAGAAAGAAGGGGCCACATACAAAAAGTAGGAATAATCACCACTTCCGCCCCATTGGCAATGAGTTCCCGGAATGCCTCCGGGAACGCCAGATCCCAGCATATCAGCAGCCCCACTTTACCAATTGGCGTGTCGAATACCTCGTGCGGCGCCTCGCCGGACGAGGTGAGGTGAGGCCGCTCGGGATGCCAGATGTTCTTCTTCCGGTAGGAGCCGAGGATGCTGCCATCGTTGGAGATGAAGTATGCCGTGTTGTAGAGGCTGAACTGTTCTTTCCCCTCGGCTTCGGTCTCGTGTCTTTGGACGATGCTTCCCGGGACGAGGCAGATACGGAGCTCCTTTGCGAGGGCTTGGTAGGCGGATAGGTACTTCTTATACTCGCCTGCCTGGACGGCCCAGAGGGGGTCCTCTGGAGCCCAGCCGTTCAGATGGTATCTAGTCAGATTAAGTTAGACTGTTTTTACGATGCCTCCAGACCAATGACTTACTCTGGTAGGACGGCCAACTCGGCACCTTGGGCGGCCGCATCTCGAATGTAATTACATGCTCTGGCGTGGTTTTCTTCAATCGCGAGGTCCTGATGAATTCAGGCGTTAGATGGGGCTTAAAGGGGAATCTGCGGTGCGCTCCAGATAGCAGTCACCGTGGTGCCCCTGGTGGTGACGTAACTTGCCTTGATGTGCCATTGGATCACCGCAACTCGACGGATCGGCGCCATTTCAAAGGTTGTGGATTGAGACCCTCAATATACGGTTCTGAGAATCTTTCGAGGATGTGGTCAGGGGATGTACACTCGATTGTACTTATCTTGAAGGAAAGTTGGAGAATTAGGCCGTTGGGGTAACTTGTGGAGTTGAGTATCTCCATACCCCGCTTTGATGAACCTCCTACGCAGTACTCAAACGGTCAAACCTTCACACATCCAAGAGTCACCTTTGTAGTTACAATCTCGCCTCGATGCTATGCCAGTCGGTCTCCATGTCATTCTATGCAGCATGTGTTAAGGGTTGAAGTGACCTTTTACCATGACAATCATTCACACAGTGACTGTCTGGTCTCGGCAGCAAGTTTCGAATGACTGATTTCAAGAACAAAAGACGTCCCATTATCATTAATATTATCTGATATTATATGGTCTATCTAGCTTCATAAGTCATACGTATTAGTGTCCGCTTACGCGGTCGTTCTTCAAGCAATGTGTCGGAGCTAGGCCATCGCTCCAGCCACCGAGAAAGTCGGCTTCTTGCTCACCCGATATACCAGCCTGTCGGTCCAGAAATGCGAAAAGACAGCATGGACTGTTGGAATTCCTCCGAAGATAGTTCCTGCAACAGGAAAGCAGACGCGCTCCACTAGCTGCGCAGGACTCAACCAGACCCGTTCTGAGAACCCTGCATCAGCCACATTTGCTTCTTGCATATCTGTTTTCCGCGTGCGCACACAGAGTGCATGCCAAGGCTCGTACAGAAAAATGCAGATATTCATTCCAATAAATGACGATGCGCGTAGCAGGTTGGTAAGATCGAACGCCCATGCCATGGTCGGATGGAGGGAAGCTGGAGGCGTCAACAGAGTATAGATAGTAGAGAATAGCATGAGTATGATCAGATGGCAAGGAAGGAAGTGAGCTTCCCAGAGCAAATGTACCAGGGCAAAGTGCCTGGGCCGGAAGAACAGGCAGCGGCAATGGGAGCGAATGTAACCGATAGTACGCCGTGCGGCAAAGCCCGAGTCAAGTGCACCCCACATATGCCTTAATGCCTGTCGATAACGGGCACGGCAGGTATCCAACGACCGTCGCCAGCCGCGTCCAGTATCGCTCGAGACGTTGCACTGACTTGCGGGGACGTAGACCGGGCGAGTGATGACGTTGCCCGCGGTCTCAAAATAGCACTTGAGCATCATATGCATGTCTTCCCCGATCGCAGTAGAATCACTGTCCCAGCCACCAATCCTCTCGGCCAGAGACAGCGGCAACGAGTATACCGATGTTGGGATTGAAACGCACGTCCCAGGGTACATGGTGGACAAACCGGCGAATCCCCAAAGTAGGTCTGCGCAACGGACCAGAACTGGAGTCTCGTGCGAATTGCGGTCGAATATTATAGGGCAGCAATATAGAGTCCGATCTGCTTCCGAGATGTGCGCATAATGAAGGCGCCGGATCTCTGTAAAGTAATCCTGCCAAAAATGCGTATCGGCTATAACCCGGTTAGGGCTATGAATTGAGCAGAGACAGGGAACAACACTTACCATCCATGACCGTAACAATCACATCACAGTGTCCCGAGTCCAGCTCGGCCCTGTGAACTTCCATAACGTGCCGGGCTGCAAAGGCCACATTTGAGCTCTTTCCTGCTATTTCGCCAGGTAAATCCGCAGGGTGGAAGGTAGCATGGATATGGCGGAAGGACGGCTCGAATGCTGATGCCAGCTTGGCCGCTTTTTCGGCGACACCGGCTTCTTTCTGTTCCATTGCGAGGTATATCTGATTTGCGAAGATCCAATATTAGTTGCATGAAGCAGGAACGGTCTCGTCCAGCACCCACCTCATACTGCATCCGTGCCCTTGGGTGGCTGGCCAGAACATCCAGGGTAGTCCGCAATGTATGTAGGTCCTCACAGTAGTTCGGAACGATGATTGCGTGAATGACCTCCAGTCCATCAGAATCGCGAGCCGTGTCGCTCATCAGTGGATCAAATACGTCCGAATCCGTGTCTGTGAGTGTCGAAGTGTCCGAGAGCCATTTATCTTTGTCCACAGAAATGCGAGGTTGCGCGAAGTTTCGCCGCTGGATGGCCTCCTTTGTCTTCCGGGTCACACTGAAAAGGGCCCACCCCAGACGCGTGGTAAAGGCGAACATACTGACATGAACAAGGACGGTGTATATGACAAACAACTGCTGGGCCATGTTGAGATGGTGCGGCTGAGTTCCCGGCGAATCTTTTGGCGCTGATGGCAACGGGGCCTTCCATTTCCAAAAGGCGACTGCATCACTGGAGGTCAACCGAAGAAGTACAATCAATGCAATGATACTGAAGCCAGGCAAGCAGCGTGATGCCCACTGGAAGAGCATTTTGTGATAAGCCTGGTTAGTAAATACCTGCTGCAGAATCCTTCACCCCGCAAAGGGGGGAAACTAAGCGGTTCTCTACGAGAGGCCATGGTATATAACCGTCAAGATGCTAAGAAAAAGGGGTATTGGACGAAATGGCCCTATTTCTCATGACCTCCACAGGGGCACACAAGGTAGCGGTCCGCTAGAAGCGCTAGAGTATATTGAGTGTAACGGCCTGACGAATGGACCATTGACAACATCAGAATAAGCATCATGGCCCTATCATTCGACGGTTCAGCTCCAGGAGGCTGTATATGAGGATCAGCGATAGAGACAAGGTTCGTTAGCCGTGGGAATCTGATACAGGCACTAAAGTGCCTGCAAGCGTTCGGCGGGCTGTGATTCTCAGGAGGATTAGCAGAAACACCGTATCAGGCTCCTTCACTTGAGAGTCAGCAGGTCAAACCCTCTTCCACGTGCCTAACCAAAAAGGAATGAGGTGTTAACCGTGAGCGACAAGGGCTTAAAACGGCTTCAGAGTCGGAGGCTAGCAAGAAGAAAGTGCCTTAGCAGTTCTCTGGGCGATAAAAATCGGGCTCTTTCCATGCTAGCAACGCTCGGATCAGCTGTGGACACTCCCAAGCTTGGAAGGCCACTAAAATGGCGGTATCAGGATTCAGGAAGAGGTCAATTTCCACCCGTCTGTCCAGCATAGCACGCTCTATGGGAGTTCAGACAAACGCCATGAGAGGTTCTTGAAAAGCATCCCATGACCATTCGGAGTACAAGCCGGAAAGGGCGACTATCATTTCCTAGCTGCTGTGAAGTAATTTGGGCAATCAACAGTGAACTCGACACCGTGCAGTAGTGTCTGAGTGATGGAGGTGGTAGAATGGCAGCCAAGCAAACGCCTGAGGCAGGCACATAAACAGTCTTTACCCTTTTGGGACACTCACACGGGCTACGAAAGAGGAATGGAGACCGCCCACGTGATCGCTACGTTGATCTCAAACCAATAGGCTCGGGCCAATGAAGAAGCAGCAAAGACCGCGTGGGCCAGTTGATGGGTCAATCCAGTCCCTTGTCAGCTTCTTATTTCGACCCGTCTTCTTATCTTTAGTCATCCAGGATGCTGATCAAGAGGTTAAACGGTCACAGGAGGCTTGAGAAGATTGAGGAAATGCATTCCATTCAGCCGAATGCTCGAGTGGTCATGGTCCTAGCGGGCTATATGGATTGACGACCCATGGTCATGTCTTCACCCAAGACTCCGCGATAGACACTCGCCCACTTTCTGGGGTGTCTCAGCTGATTCGACTACTCCCTAAGTGCCTATGGCTAAGGGTCCAATGATCTTCAAGCAAATCCTCACATGCAGCCAAACTTGCCTTTACATCTCTACCTTACACATGTCAAGACGCCACAGACATGGCTAGATAAGGGCTTCACACGCTCAGACTATGCCTTTAATCACGGAGGGTGCACAAGACTTCATGAGTAAGCCACTTAACCTGTGCGACCAGTCATGGTGCGATCAACACCTTTAGCTGGAATTTAGATCACATACAAGAGAGCTCGACTGTCCTGTCTACTAGTTGCTAGAAGCTTCCCAATCTCGCTTGCAAATGTAAAGGCAATAATATTACCCCGACACGAGCTGATATTCGAGTGACACTAAACACTCTATCCAAAATATCTGGCAGTGAGTGAACGAAATATCTGCAGCAATTTGCTCTTCAATGATAAACAGGCATGATTCTTCGACTCCCCAGACGCCCAAATCTACCCGAGCAGTAAATGAAACGCATATTATGGTTGAAGAAAGGAGTGGCAGCAGCTCAATACCTTTCAAGACATAATACTTATCTAACTAATGAGAACACAGTCTCAACTCTCCCTGATTCCCCCGCTCATGCGCCACAATGCCGCAAAACACCTTGTTGGGATAAGTATAGAGGACCCTCGCCGGACCTGGGTCTTCCTTGGGTTTCTTCGAGTCAAATTTATAGTCGTGGCCATCCGGGAAAGTCGGGAACTCGAGGAGGTAGTGGTCATCCTTGCCCATGCCGTTCTGGCTGTGCTTCGGAGGACGGTCACAGTCGGCTTTCCCGAACTTAATGGGCGTGCGACTCTTGATGAGCTTGCCATCGCCGTCGCAGCCGTTAGTGAACCAGTGCGGGTAGCTGCTACCAGCCTTGCCGTCGGAGAGAGGTGCGTGGTGAGAGTTGCTCTCGGCTTTGGCATGATTGTAGACAAGCCGCTTGTCTTCCCATTTATTTGACTTGGGATTCAGTTGTTGGTTGATGCATGTCAGCTACCCTCTCAAAGGCCTCTTAAGGCGACTCTTACCGCACGAGCGTCGAGGGTCGAGGGAGCAGCTAGAACAGACACGGCTGTGACAGCCAGCAGGAAAAGACTGTTGATTGCGACCATCTTGGACGTAGTCAGGACGACTGTGACAATGTCTTCCGATCTGGTTGCGACAAGCGGAACATCCAGCAGCTTTTATATCTGACATTGCTGGTTCAGGACATCAGATTGTCACGAAAATGCGTCTTTTGTCCCCTGCACACCTCAGATGATGTTGGGTGAGCATCCCTGTATGTAGAGGTAATTCTTGGGGCCAGGATACGCCACTTACTGGATAAATCGGGCATTGAACTACCAAGGAGAGTGAGAGCTTTGAACCCAATGTAACGTCGTCAGCTTAGAGGCATGAGATGTTTGATCTTTGGGGTCAAGTTACCTAATAGAGAGACAAGGCATGACCGTAAGCTTATGGAATATATCCTTGGCCCAAGCTTCATGCATGTCAGCTCTGAAGACTAGACCGCGGATTGCAACATCACAAGAGCTGCAAAGGGCACTAGTCTACCCTTGCAGGTGAGACAATGAGCTTTTTTTAAAGGAGACGACTGGTTTGAAATGCCTCGTTGTTGCCTGATGCCATTTTTTGGCCCCAGGAACACATGCCATTTGAACCACTGCTGACCTGGTGTCAGATTCCCAAGTGGACGGTGTCAGAACAACTCGCCTCAAAGTCTCGAGTCAACAATACATTTCTACTTTGATTCTCTTTCTCTGTTCTTTCTGCTTCTCTCGTCTTCTTGTTGTGGCCCATATCGCGCAGTCTGTATCTCACTCCGTCTTGTTGTTCCGCGCTTTGTTCATCACACCAGTTAAAACTACCATTTTCAACTCCAAAGTAGAGGGAGCTACCATCTCACTATGTCTTCTCTTCATCTCGAATTAAGAGACGACGATCCATGGTTTATCGAGGAAAAAATCTTCCAGGTCCTGCTGGACTACCTACAAAATCCCACCGCATCCCCCGCACCCACGGCCCAAGCACTAGATCGACTGTTTCCTGCGAACCGACCTGACGAGGATCAACTTGCAGGCGAGCCGCGCGAGGACCCAGGAAGTTTTCTCTGGCACTTCTGGGGCGTGGTTCATAATGTGGCCCAGCAGATCCCCTACACCGCTCCTGAACAGGACAGACTCGCAGAGCTGATCAAAGCCTTGAAAGATCTATCTTCCCAGACAAAAACAGTCTACATGGCGTCATGGGACCAGACCTTTGACTTGTGGGGAGATTTGCCGATGCTAGGTCCAACGTTCAGGGAAATGTATGATCGTAAGTATAGATTTCTGCGAGCCGCATCGGGATCTTTCTATTGACAGATTGATAGGTATGGTATCTCTCACTGATGAGGAGGAGCGTGAACATTGGCAGAGCTTGAATGCTTATGCTGCTCGCTTGACTAGAGATGGCTCTGCTGATTTGATCCTCTTCGCGAAATATGCGGTCGAAGGAATGTTAGCAGAAGATTTGGAGCAAGGGCTCGTCGATAATGTCCTCAGATGTATTCTGGAATGCAGGATAGCTGTGGCTGCGGAATGGGTCATACATTGTGGACAGAGACTTGTGGCCCAAGAAGATGGAGGGATTGATACGGAAAATTGGCAGAGGTGCAAGGAAAGGTTCAGCGACGTCTCAGATAATGGCTCGATGAGTCCGGAGACTCAGGAAAGAGCTCAAAAGGCAAAGCAGGTCATGGAAGCTCTGCAGCCGGGATGAATAAGTTTTTTACTTGAACTCGGCGGAAGATGTGCCGTACGATGTAGATCTGCACGTAGGATTGCGGCAAATGCTCACATCTCAAAACTATCTAAAAAAAGAAACCCTCTATTTCCAGGAGAAAACTGTCCTGTTCAACTTTCTCCCCCGAATTCATATGAGGTCTCTGTCCTGTCAGGCACCACAAGGTCGCGTGACCCACAGTTACTAGTGAGCGTGCCTCGGGATCGGGCGCCAAGAGAGAAACAAGGAACAAGACCCAAAAGAGGATGCGGCCAGACTTCGGGAACGTCGGCTGCATCTTATAACCTGTAAACTTAACATTGGACAGCAACATTGAAATGGCGCCTCTAACAGCTCAAGAGATCATCGCTCATCCAGCATATGAGACTGTAGATTGGAAACTCCCTCCCACAACCTCGGGACGGGCCCTGGTGGCTCAGAACAGGCGCGGTGGTCCGTTCAACCTCAACTACGAGATCCATGGCACGGGACCCGTGAAGCTAGTTGTCAGTATTTCGTCGCTTTTGCGCATGCAATAATCCCGCAGCAAGGATCATCCTTAGGAAAAGTACGAGACTAATGCCAATTAGTGGATCATGGGCCTAAATGCCGTCCTGAAAGACTGGAAGCGCCAAACCAAGTACTTCGGCCACCTGAATGGCTCGAAATACTCCTGTCTGGTCTTCGATAATCGCGGGGTTGGCCAATCCGACAAACCCACCTGCTTCTACTCTACAAGCGAGATGGCCCGCGATGTCGTGGATCTGGTCAGCTCGCTGGGCTGGATCGACCTGAAAGGTCCCGCGACACGCGCTATCCACGTCATCGGCGCAAGCATGGGCGGCATGATCGCCCAGGAAGTCGCGATGCTCATCCCGGACCGGCTCGCCAGCCTAACGCTCTGCTGTACGGCTCCGCGACTCGTCCGCACAACGCCCTTCTTCGAGAACCTGCAGCAGCGCGCGAGCATGTTCATCCCGCGGCATGTGGACGTGGAGATCGACCGTATCGCGGCGACGCTGTTTGCGAGTGAGTTTCTGACGCAGCCGGATACGGAGAATGAGGACCCTGCCTTGAATTTTCCTACGAGGAGGGATCGCTTTGCGGCGGGGCATTTGAGGAAGAAGGCGGATACGGAGTCGTATACGCCCAAGGGGTTCTTGTTGCAGGTGACTGCTTGTTACTTTCACCATAAGTCTCCGGAGCACTTGAGGGCGCTGGGGGATGCGGTGGGCAGGGAGCGGATTGTTGTTTTGCATGGGACGGAGGATCGAATGCTTACGTTTCGCCATGGGGAGATTTTGAAGGAGGAGATTGGTGAGGGAATTACATGGAAGGTTTTTGAAGGGGCCGGGCATATGTTGGGGTGGGAGACGGAGCATGAGGTGAATCGGTCGATACAGGAATTGGTGGACCGATTTAGTTGATATCTGATTAGATCTATTATATATATGCTGTTCCGTACTGTAGAATTTGAGCGTTTACCTTCATTTTTAATTCTAGTTCCTTTGTGTTCTTTGTTTCAGAGTCCAAAATCGCTGTCTAATGTTGGAAGCAACGCAATGATGGGGAAAAAGCAAAGAGAGTCTGTGCAACCTCCTGCAGAGTCCTTAATACTAACCAGACAAAGCAAATCTTGAGATCGGATATGATTGGTCCATTTACCTGTTATGATGCATCCGATAAACACGAGGCAAAAGAGTGCGGCTGTGTAACCACCAAGAGCCCCTGTCAATCACCTGGCCCCAGCGAATGATGACAGCCTCTGATGCTCTAAGAGGCATGCATCAGCTTATCAACTCACAGCGCCTTTCATCTGACCTTGTCACTACCGGTCACTTGATACTTTGACTTTTCAGCCGCCAAGTGGCATAAATACTGTGCTTCTTCCAACACCTCTCACCTCTTCTTGTCCCATTGCCCACAATCCTGTCAAAAATGGCGGAAGACACAGATTTCAAGGGACTTTCTCTTCGCAAAGGCGATTACCGTCCCGCAGGACCCGACGACCTACGAGCTCCATGTCCCGTTCTCAACTCGCTCGCAAACCACGGGATCATCGCACGCAATGGCCGCAATATCACGGCCGCTGAGTTAAAAGCCGCGCTACGCTACCTGGGCATGGGCATCGATGTCATCGCAATACTCGTCAACGGCTCATTCCAAGTGCACACCGACGACCCGAAGAAAATGGCCCGGCTCGGACTACGAGATAAAGACCAAGTCAACGAAGACGGCGTACCCGTGCTGAATCTCGACCAGGTCGGCCGACCTCACGCCGTGGAGCACGATGTCTCTGTAACCCGACAGGACCGCGCCCTGGGCGACTGCATGCACGTGAACCCCGACCTTCTGGAGCGATTCCTCGCGGCTCCAAAAACAGAGAAGGGTTTCAGCGCGTCTGATTTCGGCAAGTATCGCAAGACTCGGTTCGACGAGCAGAAGAGAGACAATCCGGCCTTGGAGTTCGATAAGATGAACCACTTTAGTGGATGCGCGGAGCTGGGGGCCGTTCAGTGTGTATTTGGTCGGGGCTTCCCGTATCGTGTGCCCGAGGAGTATATACAAGTGATTTTTGGTGAGGAGCGTCTACCCATCGAGGAGGGATGGAAGCCAAGACGACTACCGCTGCTGTTGCCGGAGCTTGGGCCGGTAATTCTGAGGATTTCCCATTTTGCGTGGCCTTTTTGAGGCCGCTATGGATTGGAATAAGCGGTGGACAAGACCGAGGATCGGAGTCTAGCTACGCTGCGTAGTGATTGGTCGTGTCGTGCTATGAGATATAGCCTTTGCAGTCTGTTTCCTGAGTGAGAGTCCGACCGCTAATAGATTTATTTTCGGGGATTTTTTATTTATTTTCCAAACATGTCCTGCGCTGATCGCTTTTGTACTGGTGCATGTGGCATGACCAGGTGCATCGGATGGGGCCGTTACTTCAATACAGCCAATTTCCTTCGATCTGCTTCAAAGTCGCTTGACCCCAGCCACTAACCGAAGCTTGCATGCCTTGCTCAAGAGCATCTCAACCTAATGCTCAGTTCACGCGGTAATAACAGGGCAGTAAGCTATGGGCTAGGGTAGGGGTACTCGGGGATGATTCGGCTTCCCTGGGGCTGCCTGTCAGAAAGTAGTTGCGATGCGGGCCACAGCAGAACAATCCAACTAGACTAAACTTTCAAATCTCGGTAAAACTTGAGAGGCGGATCTTACAATATGGAGAAGGGCATTTGTTTGCTCCAATGTAGATAAAAAGAGAACGGAGGCCTGAGCTGTCATTTTATCTCGGGCGCTAGGGAGGTACGGTTTGTGCTCTGTATCCATGACTAGGCCCCCCCTCAACGCGGAGCGGTGAGGGGGGGCCTAGTCATGGATACAGTGCAACAGTAAATTACGGGCCAAAGCTTAATCTATTTAGAGTGCGTATTTGTGGTACCGAGAGTCCAGTGCTCCCCACTTGAAACTTCCTAGGCAAACTGCCAAAGACATGAAGGAGCTGAACTCCCAGGTCACAAATCAGACAAGGTATTTTTAATTTGTATTGGATGTAAGTTACCATTCCTGACTTTGCTCTTAGGTGTTTCAATCAGCAGTGTAGGAAACTTATCATGCAACTTGTTATCAGTGGCTTGCATAGTGTATACCGCTTCTATTATGATATCTTTCAACCGATCAATAGGTAGCAGGATTGATATTGCCCAGGATGATCAAAATCAAGACAGCAAGCTGCAGACATTAGTGCGGTGATATCTGCAGAAATCCTTGTATGGCCATGCCGAGAGTACAGCCGCTATCAAAGGGATGCAGCCATTACCGTAACAATACGGAGTATGCATTCCTGAGACATACCAGATGGTCCAGTCCGGCCGGTCGCAGCCATCACGTCGGGACTGGTCATCCCTCGGCGTTACCGCTACTGGTAGGAGTGCGGTTTAGCAGTTTAGGAGTCAGCTACCTACCTCTAAGTGAACATGGAACAGAATAATACACTGGATTTGTTCGAGTCTGGAATCTGGATTTGCTTCTGCAGATCCACAAAATCAACGCCCCCAGTTGAGCGATTAATTAATTAATTATTCGGTTCCGTCGTGATGCTAGGATTGATCCTGATTTTTGATAGGCAAAATCTCTCACCTACCATCTAAACGTATTCGTGAATCGACCCCGGCCCATCGCAATTTTCTCCTTAGTCTGACGATTTTGTCCATTGCCATTTCTTCTCCAAATCTCCTTTCCACTTCTCTTCTTCCCAAGTCCTCTCTTTTCTATACATCTCAGCACTGAGATTGGCTTTCTTATGCTTTTTCTTGCCTCTGCGGCCACCACGATTCTCAATTCAGTTCTGCCTGCTTGTCCTGCTCCACAATGTTCTTGGCTTTCATGACTGCTTGTCTTCTCCTGAACTACTACTTTCCAGTGACTCGAGGCTAACACTGGTTGGTTCTGGGAGTTGTTCTGCATCCATAACATTGCGCGCAGCTTCGGAGATTTGCAGTGAGGAATTCGTGCGGTAGATCTCTCGTGTGGCGAGCGGATCAACGTCCTTTCAAACTCAAACCCCTCCTCGAAGAACATTACCTCGTTTCTTCGTTCTCAGGGAGTCTCATCGACGGCTTATTCCATCGCAGAGGTTCTTCGTGGACAGGATCGGGTAGTCTCTGAGAGACGCCCGTTGTCGTCCAGTTCCTGCCACAATGTATACTCCAGTGCTTCGGAGGTTGGCCTCGATGAAGTCCCACATTCCGCTGATAAGCGGGCTTCGTCTCAACTTTATCTCAGTGCATTACATTTACATTATCGCCATGACACTGATCACTTCCATTATGCTTTATCCAGGAAGTGATTTTGCCTATATTGACATACTCTTCTTTTGTTCCGGCGCGGCAACTCAGAGCGGTCTCAATACGGTAGATTTCAACAAGTTAAAAACGTACCAGCAGGTGATCCTCTACTTCAGTTCTATGCTCACGACTCCGATTTTCATCCACTCCATTCTCGTCTTCGTCCGGCTGTATTGGTTCGAGAAGCGGTTTCAACACATTGTCCAGGATACTCGAGCGATGCGTCAAACCCGGACGCGAATGCGAACCATAAGTCGAGATAAAGATGCAACTTCACTGGGAAGGGAGGAAGCTGGCATCGGCGCTCGCCCGATCGTTGTGCTGCGCAATAATACGCAGGGATCCAATGAAAGAGGTCGCGAGGCGGCTGCTGGAACCCCCGAGTATGGATCGACTCCGGGCTCGCCTTCCCGAGTTGATAGAGCGGACAGTTCGGAAGCTCAAGCGGGTGGTCTGGATAGCACTCCAGGGCTCGGCTTGGGCAGCCTTCGGGTGCCGACGCAGTTGAGTCCCGAGCATCACATTGCTTTCCTGGAGAATCAACGGAAGAATAAAGGGGCATTGCGCATTCCCAGCCCTCGGGAGTATGACCGCGGCGGCGTCCCCGAGGTCCTTGAGGAAGCAGATGATGAAGGCGACGGATCCAAGCGGACGCGTAGCAGCGAATCTGACGAGGAGAGTTCGCGGAGTTCGGAGGAGTCCGATCAAGTGGGACCGCTGGAAGGGCCGCACATCACCATCAACGAACCGGACATACAGCAGACGAGAACCAGAAATTCGACATTCCCTCGTCTAGACACTCGCCCCACTTTTCGTGACACGAAAGATCTGAACGATACATCAGCCCTGGAGCGTTCAAGGTCACGACGCCCTACCCTTAGCAATCTGGTTCGCTCCTTGACCCAAGAAAGGGAGCGTACGACACTTCCTTATCTTAGTTGGAACGCTACTGTTGCACGAAATTCCAACTTCGTTGATTTGACCGAGGAGCAGCGTGATGAGCTGGGAGGCATCGAATACCGAGCCTTGAAGACTCTGGCCATCGTACTCACTTCTTATTATCTCTTTTTCCACATCCTGGGAATGGTCTGCCTTGTCCCTTGKATCATGACCACTCACTGGGGTCAGGTCGTGGAGCAAATCGGACAGGGTCGCCCTTGGTGGGGTATCTTCACCGCGGGATCTGCTTTCAACGACGTCGGCTTCACGCTGACCCCGGACTCCATGACCTCGTTCCAGACAGCTATATTTCCTCTTCTCCTCATGACTTTCCTTATCATTATTGGCAACACCGGCTTTCCCTGTATGCTCCGATTGATCATCTGGGTTCTGTCGAAAATTGTCCCACGCGAGAGCGCCGTTTGGGAGGAGCTCAAGTTTCTGTTGGATCACCCTCGCCGATGCTTTACCTTACTCTTCCCGCGAAACGCGACTTGGTGGTTGTTCGCCATCCTCGTGGCGCTGAACGGAATTGACTTGATCTTCTTCATTATCCTCGACTTGAACGATCCGACAGTTACCTCTTTGTCACCGGGCATTCGGGTACTTGACGGCCTTTTCCAAGCAGCATCCACACGGACTGCTGGATTTGGTGTAGTGAGCGTAGCGGACCTTCATCCTGCAATTCAGGTCTCCTACATGATTATGATGTATATTTCGGTTTTCCCCATCGCCATTTCCATGCGAAGAACCAACGTCTACGAGGAGAAGAGTCTCGGCATTTATGGGGGTGGGGAGGACGAAGCCCCGGACGAACCACAGCACCCCCCAAGTTACATCGGGTTCCATTTAAGAAGGCAGCTGAGTTTCGACCTGTGGTATGTCTTTCTCGGGCTGTTCGTAATTGCCATCGTGGAGGGCACCCGCCTACAGTCGAAAGCAGACTATTCTTTCCAGATGTGGGCAGTCCTTTTCGAGATTGTCTCTGCCTATGGTACCGTTGGCCTGTCATTCGGATATCCAGGTGTCAACACGTCTTTCAGTGGCCAATTCAAGGTTTTGTCAAAGCTCATCATCATTGCAATGCAAATCCGTGGTCGACACCGTGGTCTCCCATACGCCCTCGACCGTGCAATCTTGCTTCCGTCGGAATCTCTTAAGGACAAGGATGTGCAGGATGCAGAGAGACGAATGCGTCGGCGTGTCTCCAACCTCAGTACCATGTCTGGGATGGACCGAACTTATTCGCAAGCGCGACCAGAGAATGGTGTCGCAACAGGCACCGAGGATAAGGACAGGGGTGCGGCGCCATGGACAAACGGGGACAATATCATCCGCCGGCACTCGACAATGTGGTCGCAAAAATCCCAGAGATCCCAGCGGTAGGAGTTGGTCATTTGAGCGCTGAATAGATCAGCGCTATCTAATTATATTGGTTGCCTGGCACAATCCAGGTGTCTGGGACCGTACAGGTTGATTTGCACATAGTATCGAAGTCTTCACATATATGAGGGATTGTTTATTGAGCGTCTGTGTTATTTGGCGAGGACTTGTCATTGTTGTTTTTCGATATCCTCACGGCGGGAGACGTTGTCCTTCAATAGATATGGCTGACCATTTACCTTTATATCAAGCAACACAGCTGGCTGTCTTCATGATCATGATTATTTCAAGCTAAAGCTCTGGGAGATCAATAAGTTTACACATTAACTGGGGCAAAGTCGTATGTTGCAAGGATCTGCCAGTCTTCTGAGACAGCTGAACAGAAATTGAGATCGTCCAAAGCTAGCGAAGCGTTGTATATGAACATAGTGGACCGACTCCAGGCAGCAATCAATGAAATGGAGCTGAAGATATGAAATCTGGAAAGGACTTTACTCGGCTTTCTATCTACGCTGTAATTTCTGTTTTTGACTTTGAAGTTGGCAGCCACCTACCTTATGGAATGCCAAATTTTAATTGAAATTTGCAAGTTGCATCGCATGATGCAAACGGTAGGTACTCTGTACCTGTATGTATACACCTCCTTATCCACAGTGAAAGTCAAACTCCGAGGTGAGGCATTTTCCGTTCCTGATTTCCCCATGAGGAGGATGCAAGGGTGAGTAAAACAATATCAATAATATCTAGATTGGTTGGAATCACGACATGGAGTGTCATACAGGATCCAGTGCATGATTCTATAGTGCCGCTTTGCAGGAAATTTTTTGATGTTGACTGGGTGATTGCCTTGTTAGTCTTGGCGGAAGCTTTGCTTTTCTTCTTGCCCTTTGCCTCGCCCCTGCTGGTATTACATATTACTATGCTCTCAAGTATTGATGAGCAGTTCCTTGAACAATTGCTCTGTTACTTTCTAACTAGTGACGCCTTTGTTAGGGTGGAGACGCCTTTCTGGATTTATTGTCTTGCAAAAAGCAAGAATACACTGCTGTATGAAATTTACCTAGTGTCAGGTACCTTTCCGGATAGGGCAGCCGTGTCTGTTTTGGGTCTAGCGTCAGGGACCACAACGATACGATACTTACATGCAGACGGTACATCTGATGGACATTTGTGGCTTAATTACGGAGTACACCTTAGTCAGTCGATATTAGATCGAAATGAAAACACGAAAGTGATCTCCTGATAGACTTAGTCTTGGGTCAAGTGCGCAAGGCTGCTTGACTCGATCCGAATTTATGGATTGTGCAATGTTGCACATGTCGTGCTGCTGCACGCAGCCATGCATGCCGGTTTCCTAATTCGGATATGATCGGTGGCTGCTTCCCATGTTGTGCATGGCGACATCCCTAACTTCTTCCTGACTTCGTTCGTGACATTCCACCTCTTCCATAGCCAACCTATTTCATCATCAACTATCCAACTCGGCGCTGTTCAGATTCAATTACTGGTATCCATTGCCTGCTGACTCCTGCTAATCGTGTACTCGCAATAAAACCCGCAGCATATGGCTGAAAAGCCGTACAGCGGCACCGCCGACGACTACAGTCGATATGGCGGTGTCTCAACGCAGGTCGGCCATTTCGGAGTGGATGAGCACCAAACATCAAAGGCTGCTTCGTTCGGCGTCCAAGATAATTCTTCGCCCGAGGCCGCTAAGCCGTGGTGGAATCCTCACGGGTGGTCGCTGCGCGCGAAGCTCATTGCGGGTGCCGTGATTGTCGTGGCTTTTATCGGTGCTATCGTCGGGGCCGTAGAGGGAACGAGGGCCAATCGGTATCCCGACTATTCAAGGCTTGATTACAGATTGTTGGATACGTATTCGGGGCCGACGTTTCTGGACAAGTTCAACTTTTTCTCGGATAAGGATCCCACTAATGGATTCGTGCAGTAAGTGTTTCTCTTGTGATTCGTGTCTTGGAGAGCTTGGGTTGATTCTCGGGCAGATATGTGGATAGGATCACAGCTGGAAAGCTGAATCTGACCTATGCTACGGAATCATCTGTCATTCTGAGGGTGGACACATCTACAGAGTCTCCCAGCAATGGCAGACGGTCTGTTCGACTGGAGTCCAAGAAGTCTTATGACACTGGCCTTTTCATTTTTGACATCGTCCATACGCCTTATGGCTGCGGGACATGGCCCGCTCTATGGCTCAGTGATACGTACAATTGGCCACTGAACGGCGAGATTGATGTTGTGGAGGCGAACAATGGAGGCACTGAAGGAAACGCAGTAACCCTGCATACGACCCCCGGCTGTGACATGAAAGCCAAACGGAAGCAGACAGGGCATGCGCTGTACCACCAGTGTGACAATAGCACGCATGGCAATGCAGGCTGTGGCGTCCAAGCTCCACCTGTCTCTTATGGCCCAGAGTTCAATGACAATGGGGGAGGTGTAAGTCTTGTCGTCCAGGGCAGTTTCCTTCAACATGCTAAAAAATGCAGGTTTATGCTCTGGAGCTCCGCACTGCAGGCATCCGAGCTTGGTTTTTCCCTCGAGGTTCGATACCAAACGACGTTTCAGATAACATCCCGGATCCATCAACCTGGGGAACTGCCTTGGCCGACTTTCCCAATACCAACTGCGATATCGCATCCCATTTCAGCAACCAGAGTATCATCGCCAATATCGATCTCTGTGGCCAGCTGGGCGCACAGCCTCAGTTCTATACTCAGTTATACAACTGTCCGGGCACGTGTAGCAGTTTTGTTGCGCGCAATCCTGCCAAACTTACCGAGGCTTACTGGGAGTTTAAGAGTTTCAAGGTCTATCAGGCTCAGTAGTGTGCCGTTTTCTGCATTTCACGGCGTTGGACATGTTAGATGGTCATGATGTGGTTCTATGCAGTTTATGTCCCTTTTCACGAACAAATGGCGTTCATGGCTTTGGGTAGCCACTTAATTCCCTGTCATTCGAGTCGTTGGATTGTATAGATTGTGTTCAAATCGTTTGTTTGTTAGATTCCTTACAATACCACGACAAGTCCTATGCTATTCTTTAAACTCAACATATTGCCAGATATTGTTAAGTTGAGATATTAATAGTGGTGTAGGTGAGATCATTAGCTGCGATAGCGCTATTTGAGGTCCGTCTCGGGCCGATCCAGTCGGTATTTGCACGCAATCCATCAAGTACAGAGCACTCGTGTCTACTGTAACCAGACAGCATAGTAATGACTACACGCCACTGAAGATGTTGAATTCAAATCCAACCCAAACTGCTGCAGTAGTCTGAATATTTGCGTGGGATCATATTGCATGTTTACAGGTCTCTGGGACTTGTCAATTCATAGTTTCTCTCGGCAACATATCTATGGCGACGACTGCTAAGTACGGTGGGACCAAAATCAACGAGCATGGGTCTTGATCTTGAACGAATACGAAGGAGTCATATCATTCTTGACGGGGTAGAGATCCCCTCCATCAAACTTCATATCGCGGGCATAGTACTCGACGTTGACCTCCTCGCGGGTGATGTCCATCGTGACGAAGCCATTGGCCGCAGACTGCGAGTTCGCACCCAGCCACTTGGTGTACGGGCCCAGATGGACTCCGTAGTTACAGTCTCCAACCTCGGGGTATCCCGCTCCGCCGGCTAGGATGAAGTTCGTGTTATTGTTGTAGAAGTGCGCGAGACAGTGGTCGTGGCCGTTGAGGACGACGCCGCCGTGCTTCTCGACGACTGGCGATCGTCGGCGCAACGTCGGTGTTGTTCGTCGCTGCGGACATGTACCCGTGGTGGAGCTGGAGGAACTTCCACTCGGCCTTGGAGGCTGCGAAGGCGGGTTGCCCCCCGTTGTGGGAGTAGTTAAGCTTCGACGGACATTGCCAAACTCCGGCAGGTCTCAGCACGTGGTTGCCTGATGATGCACAGGAGTGTTTTACTTCAAGAACCGAAGTGCGGGAAGTAGTGCCGGGTTGGAAAAAGCTTGACCTCTGGAGACAGCAGGCTTGGCGTACCAGTGTGTACAATATTGTTGCTTTGACCGCTCGAGTGGTTCCTTGATTGATACTATCTCACCCGTGAGATTCGAGGGAAAAGTAAAATTAGATGGCTAGACCTGAACAGATTGGAGATTTGGGATTCGTGTATGCCTTGGTATTAATGTTCACTTTCCCGTCGGGCCTTGAGGATTGCCTTCTCACCCAGATGATATAGGTCGCCCATAAACTCTTCCACAAGACGGACCTGGGCGATAAATGTGGTTGTGGTCTGCCCCCTTATGTGCTTCCTAATATGTTCAAGTACTACTCTCATCAACGATAAGTCAGTATCGCTTCGATCCTCCAGAGGACTCATCAGGATATTCGAGAAAAGGTGGATGGCAGATGTGGAAAGCTCTGGTAAGCAAAACCTTTCAGGGATATTAGTATATGGGACATCAATCCAAACATACGACTGGTCGCCTACAAGAGAAACTGTCCCTCGCGCTGTGGATCCGATTCCAGGAACTTTCGTAACACAGACCGACTGGCTGCTACGCTGAGGGCAAGACTCGAGCCCGCCGCGCGGGTGTCCTGGTTCCGAACCCAGGCAGTACACCGGCTGCTTGTCTGGTGGATGGCAGCCATGCAGTAGTGGTACTGCATTTCAAAAAGGAAGTCGGCCATACGATTCTCGTTGTGTATAGATAGGCCCGTGAACGTGGGCACCGAAGACCGCCATTCGTCCAGCGCGATGTCCAGGCTGCGGATCGTAGCTAGCAGATCCGCATCGCTTTGGCGTTGGGCGGAGAAGGAGTATAGGCCATGATAGATCTTCGACTGGATTAGACACAGGCGAATAAGGGTGAGAAACATAGTGTGGTTGTGTTGAGGGTAGAAAGGCTGCAAGCTTTCCAGCTGGCTATTCACCGACTGCATTCGAGGAAGCGTTAGATCGCAATTCATAACGTCAACAAAGGGTTGAAGGCCTGTGCGTAAGCTGAAGATCTTGTCGAGGATGAAACAGATCCAGAAAAGATTCCTCACTTGCATTTTTGCACGCAGAGGATCATCCTCTATATCCTCGGGGTAGACGTTGCCTTGGAGGTGGAAGACGAAGCGTGTGGCCGTGGACAACATAAGCTCTATACTGAGCATATCTCCAGATGTGGCCTGGCAGCAGAGGCACTTTTGTCAAGGTGTTAGCTTTCAATCACTATTTGGAGAACGCTGTGCACAGGGGAGTGATCGAAGTAGTCAAGATGGTCTTACTAGCATGGTCAGTGCCTGCAACCCGTCCAATGTCACGGACTCGTTGAGCATCTCTGGTAATAGATCTTGGGCCTCGCGGGCATATTCATCGGCAGTCACGATTTTGTCGAGATGCGGTTGACCGGCGAAGAATGAACTCAGGGCCATAAAGGCAAATATGCATACCCTGGCGCTGGAAAGCCCAGGCGAGATGGCTGACAATTCCTTTTCGTAGGCCGCTCGGATAGTGTACTCAAAACATGCTCGGTTAACAAGAGGCAATATCTGGGCGCAAATTGACTTTTGAAAAGCCTCCATCTGTTCGAGAAGAAGCGATTTATCCGGCAGCGATAATCGTCGGTCGCCATCGCCGGCACGTTTCTTGGCTAACCGTGGCCAGGAGATGGGCCTCATGCTGCAATATCGGTCTAGAGATCCGTCCTCTCCGGTACGGGCTCGAATCCATTCCAAGCCGCTTGGAGAGAAGAAAGGCAAGCCGTTGAATGCACAAATATTCCCCAGAGTCTGTCCTGCAAGGCATATATCGGTCCCGAAACCCTGGGGCGCCACAGCCTGGGGACCGCACTCTGGAAAAGGTAGTTCGGGAAGAATTTTGCTTTCTTTTTATTCATCAGATAAACGATATTAGAATAATCAGGAACACTCAATGTCGGGGTAGAGCTTGAGAGTTCCGTTATGTTTAGTACAGACATACCGTGTCTCATAGGTCTACTTGCATGTGGGGAAGGTGAACTGCTGCTGGAAAATCGAGTCAATAAGAATCACTGTCGATGTAAGGTAGCTATCAGGTACGAATAGAAAGAGATGTAAGAAGAATCGGAGGTTCATACTTCTCACTCCGAGTTTGGCGCAAGCATGAGCGCGAGGAATCCCGGTTGCGCGTGAAGGTACAGGGGATGTTGTGATGGTAGCACCAGTCACACTGGGGAGTTGCACGGTCACATTTGATCTAGACGAACAACGGGATATCAGATCCCACCAGTTAGAAGAATATCTAGACTATTCAACCCGTAGTCGGGGGCAGACCTTCTTGATGCGGCAGGAGTCGCAAGCATATGTACGTCGGGTACGGCGTGGGCGGTTCGCGACAGCATTGCCATTCAACCTTTGAACGGGCATCACATTTGCAGGATGATTCATATTGTTTCGGCCAGGAATCGTATTCCAGGGGTATGGACCGTATGGTCACCCCCAATCTAAGCAGGACAAGTACCCGCAATGATGCTGCCTCTGTCACTCCTCGACCAGTGGAAAACAGCCGCACCTGAAAAGTGTGTTATTTCCTCCTCAGCCAAGTTCATCAAGGCTTGAAGAATCAGCAAGGTCCGATTACTCAATAGCGCTGGTTTATTTAGCGCACTTACAGATCGAGTTACGTCCATCGACTCAGTAGTACACTGGCATGACGAGGAGTCGGAATCCGCTTAGTCATCGGCTTTTGAGGTAAATGATCGACTGATCTGCCAGTAGTAACGTGCGTGTTCCCGAGCATGCAGAAGATATGGACAGTCCCAGGCGTCGGAAGAAATAGAAAGTGTCCCGATTGCCGAACGACCCGTTATTATGGATGATCACTGACCGAAGTTGCGTCTTTGTATTCTTGTTCTCCAGTTAGTGTCGGGGTTATGGGGTAAAGGCGCTGAGTCAGCGGACTTGTAGCATTCCCAAGCATTTACTAGATCCCCATCCAACTATACCAGAGTAACCAGACCAATGTGCTAGATGCAAAATCTATCTGTCAATAGTACATCGGTAAACCCTGGATCCTCTGGGTCGAATTGGAAACTGCGCCTCTCGGTCCCGGTACTCGATATCCCCGATTTGTCCTACAATTGGGCCCGAAATGGATGCAAGACGGACTATCACCCTCGCGGTGCCACCTGTGTATCCGAGGGATGTCTGCATATTCCTAATTCTCGGAGAAAATGAAGCTGAGAATATCCGTTGGACTTGTCGGAAGGGTAGTTTCCGGACAAAGGAAAGAGAACGGCGGTGACAACAATAGTCATAATAGTCAACTACATCCCCCGCTCAAGGCTTGGGACATTGATATTCGACAAGGAATTGAAACAGAGATACCGGCCAGTTGATCAGTCCTGAGTGCTATCAGATACTTTTTTTCCTATTTCTTCACCTGCCTGGTGTATCATCGGTCAAGCACGACCACACCATGAGCGCCAACAGTCAGGACGAGTACTTACTTGAGGATCCTGGATCTCAACATGAGGAAGTCACTTACGAATCTACGGTCAGATCTCCCATGGACCTTATCAGAGCAGATGAGACGGAGAACCTGAGGCGGATTGCCACCCAGCAGTCGGAGAAGTCGCGCAGACGGTCGGAGGCAGGCGCTCCAGAAGCGCATACCACGCCCGCTGTAGCGGAGGATGACCCTGCGCTGGATCCGCAGTCGGTGGAATTCGATCTGGAAAAGTGGCTCAGAACCATTGTGGCAGACGCCAAAGGGAGAGGTCTCTCGCCTCCACAGGCCGGAATTGTGTTCAAACAACTGAATGTCTCCGGGTCTGGGGCTGCCCTTCAGCTACAGGACACGGTTGGTTCAACCTTGGCAATCCCCTTTCGACTTCCGGAACTGCTTCGTCAGAGGCATTCTCCATCTCGTCTAATTCTCAAGTCCTTCAACGGCCTGATGAAGAGTGGGGAGCTGTTGTTGGTACTTGGGCGTCCAGGAGCAGGTTGCAGCACCTTCCTAAAGACACTCTGCGGCGAGACTCATGGACTTGACGTTGATCCGACAAGTGTTCTACATTACAACGGTACCAATGACTTCTGAACTATTCCCCGCTGCTATTCCTTGTCACTAACTGGGGTTTGAAGGCGTCTCTCAAGCACGCATGATGAAAGAGTTCAAAGGCGAAATTGTCTACAACCAGGAGGTAAGCTGGCAGCAATCGTGCTCACACATGCGCTTGCGCTAACCTCAACTGTTCTTCCTTGCAGGTAGATAAACACTTTCCCCATCTTACTGTGGGACAAACACTCGAGTTTGCAGCCGCCGCTCGCACTCCCTCGCACCGGTTCCGCGATATGTCCCGGGACGAGCATGCCAAGTACGCAGCACAGGTGATCATGGCGGTATGTGGCTTGAGCCATACCTATAACACGAAAGTTGGAAATGACTTCGTTCGTGGAGTCTCTGGAGGGGAACGCAAACGAGTCTCGATAGGTATGTTGCAGTCTGTATCCGCCCTTTTCCCAGAGGCATCGGCTAGTGTGCTGACTTTCGAGTGAAGCGGAAATGGCTCTTGCGGCTACGCCTCTCGCAGCTTGGGATAATTCCACTCGTGGACTGGACTCGGCCACGGCTCTCAAGTTCATCGAGTCTCTCCGACTACTGGCCGATCTTGCAGGAACCGCGCATGCCGTGGCAATCTACCAGGCCAGTCAAAGCATATATGACCTCTTTGACAATGTCACCGTCCTCTATGAAGGGCGCCAAATCTTCTTCGGGCCAGCGTCCACCGCAAAGGGCTTTTTCGAACGGCAAGGCTGGGAGTGTCCTCCTCGACAAACGACAGGCGACTTTCTCACCTCAATCACAAATCCCCAGGAGCGACGCCCCCGCGCTGGTATGGAGAAACTCGTTCCCTATACACCAGAGGATTTTGAGAAGTACTGGCTTCAGTCGCAAGAGTATCAACGTCTACAGGAGCAAATTAAGGAATTTGAGACTTTACATCCCCCAGGCGACGATGAGAAAGCTGCCGCTCACTTTCGAAAGAGGAAGCAGGACGTGCAGTCCAAAAACAGCCGGCCAGGATCTCCGTACCTCATCAGCGTACCAATGCAGATCAAACTGAACACGCGACGAGCATACCAACGGTTGTGGAACGACATCTCCTCGACCCTATCAACCGTGATTGGTAACATTGTCATGGCTCTCATTATCGGTTCCGTTTTCTATGGATCCCCCGAGACTACAGCAGGCTTATCATCAAGGGGCGCAACGTTGTTCTTCGCAGTCTTACTGAATGCATTGACAGCGATGTCGGAAATCAACAGTCTGTATTCCCAACGCCCAATTGTTGAGAAGCAGGTGTCCTACGCATTTTACCATCCTTCCACAGAGGCAATCGCCGGAGTAATCAGTGACATTCCAGTTAAATTTGTCCTTGCTGTGGTCTTCAATATCATCCTATACTTTCTAGCGAACCTTCGCAGGGAGGCATCACAGTTCTTCATCTACTTCTTAATCACTTTCATCATCATGTTTGTCATGAGCGCGGTTTTCCGGACTCTGGCTGCAGTGACAAAAACAGCCTCACAGGCAATGGGTCTGGCTGGCGTGTTGATCCTTGCGCTGATTGTCTACACTGGCTATGTCCTTCCAGTGCCATCGATGCATCCATGGTTCGAATGGATCCATTATATCAACCCGATCTACTATGCCTTTGAGATCCTGGTCGCAAATGAGTTCCATGGCCGTGATTTCCCATGCGCCAACTTTGTGCCAGCTTACGCAGACCTCTCTGGTGACAGCTTCTCTTGTTCTGCTTCTGGCTCTGTAGCTGGTCAAACTACCGTGAGTGGTGACCGCTATATCTTCTACAATTTCAAGTATAGCTACGATCATGTTTGGCGGAATTTCGGGATCCTAATTGCCTTTCTCATTGGCTTTATGACCATTTACTTTCTGGCTTCGGAGCTAAATTCGTCAACCACCAGTACCGCTGAGGCATTGGTCTTCCGGCGCAATCATCAGCCCAAGCACATGCGTGCTGAAAATGTCAAATCCACTTCCGATGAAGAGAGTGGAATCGAGATGGGTTCTGTTAAACCTGCGCATGAAACAACCACGGGCGAACTGACTCTGCCACCACAGCAAGATATATTCACGTGGCGTGATATTTGCTATGATATCGAGATCAAAGGGGAACCACGACGCCTTCTTGATCATGTTTCCGGCTGGGTTAAACCTGGCACTCTAACCGCATTGATGGGTGTAAGCGGAGCGGGTAAAACTACCCTGCTGGATGTCCTGGCGCACCGAACTAGTATGGGTGTTATCACCGGGGATATGTTTGTCAATGGCAAACCCTTAGACACCAGCTTCCAGAGAAAGACGGGATATGTTCAGCAGCAAGATCTTCATCTTGAAACTGCTACCGTGCGGGAATCATTGCGTTTCAGTGCCCTACTGCGTCAGCCACCCACGGTCTCAATCCAGGAGAAGTACGACTATGTTGAAGATGTGATTCGCATGCTGAGGATGGAGGAATTTGCCGAAGCCATTGTTGGAGTTCCAGGTGAAGGATTGAACGTCGAACAACGCAAGTTACTGACCATCGGCGTGGAACTTGCTGCAAAACCCAAGCTACTTCTTTTCCTTGACGAGCCGACAAGGTAAGCAGATGATGGCGTCCCGTGCGCAGTAGAATTGTCTGAGCTAATGTTTGAACTAGTGGCCTGGATTCGCAGAGTTCATGGGCTATTTGCTCGTTCCTGCGTAGGTTGGCTGATAGCGGGCAAGCCATTCTCTGTACCATCCACCAGCCGAGCGCCATTCTCTTTCAGGAGTTCGATCAGCTACTGTTCCTTGCAAAAGGTGGCAAGACTGTCTATTTTGGTCCTGTGGGGGATAACTCTCGCACCCTACTCGACTACTTTGAGTCAAACGGGGGCCGGAAATGCGGCGAATTGGAGAACCCTGCGGAGTACATGATCGAAGTCGTCAACGCTAGGACCAACGACAAAGGACAGGATTGGTTTGATGTTTGGAATCAGAGTCCTGAGAGCCGGGCGGTCCAGGAAGAGATTGACCGCATCCATGAGGAAAGGAAATCCACCCACGAAGGGGACAATGATCAGTCGCACACCGAATTCGCGATGCCTTTCTGGTTTCAGTTGTACGTCGTTTCGCGCCGTGTCTGCCAGCAGTACTGGCGAATGCCGGAATACATCGCCTCCAAATGGGGTCTGGCCATTATGGCTGGCTTGTTCATCGGCTTCTCCTTCTTCGATGCCAAACCATCGCTAGCGGGCATGCAGACAGTCCTTTTCTCCTTATTCATGGTTTGCTCTATCTTTGCATCTCTTGTTCAGCAGGTAAGGCCCCGATAAACACGTCCCACTGCGGATACCATGATATTAAACTGCCTTTTTTAGATCATGCCCCTATTTGTCACTCAACGATCATTATACGAAGTTCGCGAACGACCCAGCAAGGCGTACTCGTGGAAGGCCTTCTTGATTGCCAACATCGCGGTGGAAATCCCATATCAAATCGTCATGGGGATCCTCACCTTCGCCTGCTACTACTTTCCCGTTGTGGGCGCCAATCAATCACCTGAGCGGCAGGGTCTGGTTCTGCTTTACTGCATCCAATTCTACGTTTACGCCAGCACCTTCTCCCACATGGTGATTGCAGCAATCCCAGACACGCAGACTGCCAGCCCCGTCGTGGTTCTCCTGTTCTCAATGGCGCTGACATTCTGCGGCGTGATGCAATCCCCATCCGCCCTACCGGGTTTCTGGATCTTTATGTATCGCGTCTCGCCCTTTACATACTGGATCGGAGGCATGGCGTCCACGCAGCTCCACGCCAGGAACGTCGTCTGCTCAGCAGCCGAACTCTCCGTCTTTGACCCCCCCGCGAACCAAACCTGCTACGAGTACATGGCAGAATATATGAAACTTGCCGGTGGCCAGCTCCAGAACCCCGACGCTACGTCCGACTGCAAATTCTGCTCCTTGACCGTTGCGGACCAGTATCTCGCCGCGAGCGATATCGAATGGTCCCAACGCTGGCGGAATTTCGGGATAATCTGGGCCTATGTCGTGTTTAATATCTTCATGGCGACGGTCTTGTACTACCTTTTCCGGGTCAGGAAGTGGAACCTTGCGAGCATTAAGGAGAGGCTCGGAAGGAAGTGACCATCTTCGCCTAGTTCTCTGACTGCCGTCGCTCATTTGGACGTGTTCGTTTGTTTACTGTATTTCTTTCTTGCTTTACTATTCCTGTTTATTTATTATTCTGAACTTTTGTACTATCTATATTCGGCGACATAGCCATAATCACTTACAAGATAGACTTATAGTTTCCTTCTAATCAATCTGGATTTCACCTCTTCTCTCATGAGTAAGTAGTGACTATGATCGCAAATACACTTCGTGGGAACTATATCTCCAGGGCTTGGTGGGAGATATCAATGTGACGGCGCTAATGAGCTGACATAGTCTTCATGGACCAGGAGGGTAATTTGTTAGAGTTATCACTTGAATTGCATTCATTGAGTACTTCTACAGGGTATCAGATGTATATCGCATGGAAATCCGCGGAGATATTCAAGACATGAAGACAGAAATGAGCAAGCAAATCAAAGATGGTAAAGTAAGCAGAAAACCCCTGAAATCCAGTTGTATGAGTCATCATGGACACCAACGCCAGAGTGCTAGTACGCATCAACAGGTGCAAGCAATATCGTTATCGTTAAATGATGCTATAGGTTCCGTAGCAGGCTGCCTTCGGCAAAGGGGTTGGCCGGCGTGAGATCCAGCATTGGCTTCGAGGCGTTGCGATCGCCGGTGGCCACGCCGTGGCCGACTGGGCCGCTGCTTTGCGCAGCAGCGAGCTGTGCGGAACGTGCAAGGAGGCTGTTAGCGAGGAATGGGCCCTCGGGTGGCTGTGTGCTGTCCACGGGGGTGACTGGAGATGCAGGTGCGGTGTGGTGTCGCTGGTTGCTGGTGCTGCGAAGGGTGTTGGAGCGCTTGCGGGTCTGCGTTTCTGCACTTGGCGCAGGTTCTGGTGGCACGGGTGGACGTCTCCAAGTTGTCGATGGCGGGACAGCGATGGCTCCCACGGGCTCAGGTCCCGTGGCAGCGTCAATCAATGGGACGCCCGGTTCGACGGAAACGCCTCTCCCCTTGCGAGCATGTTGTGGAGGCTCTTGGTAAGCCGGAGTTAGGTCGACCAGCGGTTTGCCTCTGTTGACAGACAGAGACCGCTTGGCACTACCCATGTCCGGAGCATGCGCCGAGGTCATCGTGTTTGAACGACTGGCAGGCCGGCTGACGGGACCGCGACGCGTGCTCATACTTCCGACCAGTCCATGAGCAATAAACGGCTCTTCATTGGCCCTCTTTTCCTTCTCTTCTCGTTCCTTCATAGCCTGTTGACGTTGCGTATACGCGCGACCCAGAAGACCTGACGAGGCGAATGGGGAGCCGTCGGTGGGCTGCACTGCTGAGCCCGACGGGTCCGACTCCGCCAGGGATTTCGGGAAAGACGATGGTGGCGGTCCACGCTCGCGCGAGCGTGTCTTTCGCGAGAAGATATCTTTGCTCTTGCTTGATTTGAGCTGCTCCTCAGGGGAAGAATGCTGTAATGGTGCTTCGTGCTCCGCAACAGAATCCAGGTCCACCAAGGGTTTGAACGGAGGTGGCTGACTCGACTTGGAATGAGAAGAGCCATTCCTCTGCCGGTGGAGGCTGTTAACCTCCTCGTCATCTTCACTCTGGCCTGCGCCTTTTTTGTGAACGAGATACCAGCTGCGCCATGTTTGCACTGCTTGATGCCACTGCTCGGCGACTGCCCTGTCACTGGTGGAGAAGAAGTGGACAAAATTCTCCGTCGAGAGGAACATGCTCGACTTTTGCTGACTCTTGATTGCCTGGCAGATTTTCTTTGGTGGATCCACATTTTTTCTCAGAAAATCCGGCGTAGGATAATAGATATCAAAATCCGAAAGATGACAAGCATTCGTTTGGTCCTTGCCATGTTCCTTCTTAGAAACGGTGACCTGCCCATCCGAACGAAGGGTGACAAAGCGCTTGTCCCACTTCCGGGGCCGTTGTGAGTAGTAGATGTGCACTGTTACATCCGCGGGCGGCGTGGTCGGTACATTCTGCGCTTCAAGCGGGCGCAAGGACTCGATGCTTGCCGCAGGAACAATAATCAATGCGTTCTCCCCATCATACGCCCACGAATTCATGATATCCCTCACACACTCGTATCTGCGCAAGGGCCGCTCCAGCCCCAGCTGATTGAACGACTCCATCATAATGAACTTGGGGGGATCGATCTCCCTTGCCAGACACTCCGAGGCAGTAACTAGCAGATCGTGAACCCGTGTCGACGGCATGACGGGCATCTTGGCCGACATCCTCCCATATTGGACCAGAACGCTGCGCTTCCCTGAATTCACCGCGGAAACAGGTGCATCCACGCCAGTAAAGTGATTTCCTGTAGGAGGCTCGGGGGATTTGACGGCCGACGACTCTGTGGCCGACTTGTCCTTGGGTATAGCAAGCTTCATCTTCTCCTTGAAAGATCGACGCTTCGGCTCGGAGGTTTCATCCGACTTGCGATGCCGACGGGACCCTTCCTGCACATCGTCATGCTTGCGCCGGCCGTCTGCGGCCCGTGGAGTCACTCTCCGATGATTCGAAACAGCTGGCGCGGGCTTTGTAGTTTCCCCTGTTAAGCGAGCCATCGCCTCCTGCCTGTGTCTCTCGCGCTCGGCTTCCGAGTCCTCAGTAGCGCCGGCGTCGTTGCCGAACGGGTTCGTTGTGGTTTTCGCAGGTTCCGTCATGCTTCGAGCCATCGCTGGTACGTGCGCTGCTGCTGCCGCTGCAACGGTCTGATCCCCGGGAATGCGCAGCAGTTTGTGGCCGTTCAATTGGGTTTTATGCGTCGGAAGGGCTGGGACCGCAGACTGCACGGTCATGGCAGGGGCTGTCGGATCGCGTTGGCGTCTGTATCGGGACATGCCGCGGTTGATTGAATCAGTGGTAGATGTCGTCCCATGGTGGGATCCAGTCGCAGGGGCGCTCGGGGGGCAGGGGGCAGAAGCAATCGAGGTGTTCAGCTGCTTGGGCTGCTTCTGTGTGGCTGCTCTTCGGACGGATCGATAGCGGGAGAACTTCAATGAGCCCTGGTCGCGGCCAGCCTCCATGCTGGTGGTCTGTGTTTCCATCGCCATGGCGATGGGCTCTCCTCAAGGCACGCTTCTTACACGGATCGTCTTGTAGGTGCGGGTTGCATTGTTTTGCATCGACGCGCTTGTATTCAGACGGTGACCAAGTGGCCAGACAGTCAGTCTCCTCAATGGACGGGCTCAGAACTGAGCTCGTTCTCAACGGTATCAGAGGTTGAGTTCCGAAGCCACGCAAAAGTAAGGAGAATAATATCGAATTGGTTGGGAAGATGTCGAAGGGAGGAAGCGAGGGAAGAAAAAATGAGAAATGAGAGGGGGAGGGGGGGGAAAATGAGGCGAAACTGAAAATAACCACGGCACAACAAGCCCCTTGGATCCTGTAGAGACGTTTCACAAATGCTCAGGCATTCCTTGTCCTGTCAACCCAAATCCTAGAAGCCCTAAAATAGACCAAAGGGATTTGAAGCGAATCAGCGCGACAGTAATATTTTATCACCATGGACGGAAGTGCGCCATAGAGGAGCACGAGACTGGATTGCGGGAGTCGACAATCTAGTCTACGAGTTAGAGGAGCGGAGATTAATTAATATTAGTTAGTTACGGTTGGCTTGCACTTTAATTACTGCAACCAGTCGCTCGGCTTCACTTCACTCTCCATAATGACATGACGGCACAGAGAGAGGAATATAGACGAATACTGCGACTTAACTCCAGGAGATGCGTTCATCGAGGGGCAAATGCACAACTATCCAAATTCAAGTGGGAAAGAATTCCGGGCACGGCGCAGGGAAAAAGACGGTGTGTGGCTGGGAGGAATGAATCCTGCAGGCATTATCGACGTAAGATCACTGGCGTCATCATCTTAGGCAGCATTATTATCGATCAAGATTAATATTCTCAATTATTGTTTTGAACTCTATCTACGGAGAATATCTATCTGAACCTAGTATCTAGGAGATGGAACTATGATCGTCCTGGTACCTGACTGGCAGCCTCACAGCCTACAGGGCCACATGGATTCTGACATGGGAGGATGTGATGCGGATCGACATACCCACAATCGGGTGATTAACATAGTGACTGATGACACATCATGCTATTCCACTTCGCTCAATTGTAATCGGATTACAACTATTCCCGAATTCAGATCAGAGGTTGGTTCGAGTCTCTGGTTGTTCATTTGAACTCCGCGTCGTACAGCCCGGCTGGGTTCCTGCATCGGTCATTCTGCCCCTGCGTCCGTCTTTGCATAGGACTGTGCCTGGCGACGAGGTCCATCATTACTTCGTTGCAATGTAGTATTTATTTTCTAGCAAAAATGCTTTTTAATCATCTCATATCAATCATGGGATTGCCTCACGTCCCCTTTCCTTGGGACAAATCAATCATTTCCTATAAGCCCCCAAATGCTTCCGCCTACATCCAGAATTAGTTCTAGCCACGGTTTGGGAGGCCACATACAGCAGGTACTTACCACCATGCGACAAAGTCAGTCGTCTGGACGTCAATGTCCAAATCCTTTAGCACCTTGGTTGAGAGGTGAGTATCATAAGGCCTTTGCACAGATGCGTTTGGATCGTTTCCTTGCTTGTTCCTGATCATCCCTACCAGGGAAAGACCAAGTACCTCCGCAAGTTTCTCGCAGATTTCGTACTTGGTCATCCGATCTTCCGACGAGAAATGCAGAATCTTGGGGAGTTCATGAATCCGTGACCGTTGTTTGAGATATTTGATGACAATGTCACGGCACACACGAGCTACATCCTCGGTGTTTGTCGGGTAGCGCTGCGCCCAGTCGTCCATCTTCACACCCGCGTTCTCATCCTGAGCCTTCCAGACAGCATCGATCAGGGTATTCACAGCGCTCTCGGAGTTATTCTGAGCAGTACCATACAGCACAGGCACACGGAGAACAACCCCTAACCCGGTATCCTTTGTGGCTTCTAGCACTGCGATTTCGCCGTCTCGCTTGAGCTGGCCGTAGTAATTCGTCGGCGAGGGCTCTGCATCGACCTCGTAAGGAGCCTCTCCCTCCTTTCCGGAGAAGACATAATCGGTTGAGATGTAGACCAGCAACGCTTTTCGAGAAGAGGTCTCTTCTGCGAGGGTGCGGGTGGCATCAACATTGACCCGACGAGCTTGCTCAGGGTTCTTATCACACAAGTCGGGAGACCGGTTGGCGGCGCCTAAAACGAGTGGTCAGTCCCAATTGCAGATGCATTGAGTGTGCTTCGGTATCATTCGCATACAATGGATAACAATCTGAGGTCTGGTTTGCAAGGTCAGTCCTCAGCTCAAGAATAGAATACATCGGAGCATTGCCGATGAGTAGTACGAAAGAACATCAACGACAACGCAAGGGCGCCCACTTTGCTTCGTCCAACAGATTCTTGATATCCTCCGGTTTCTCCAGGTCTGCCTTGAGAATCGTGGGCGGGGTAGCTCTAGAGTAGCCTTGACCGACAACAAAGCAGCCAGAATGCTTGAATGTATTGAAAACCTGACGGCCCAGCAAGCCGGTAGCTCCAGTAATCAAGACAGTAGTCGACATTTTATTGTACTCTTGTTCAGTCGCTTGTGTGTTTCGAATTGGGTGCTGGAGGCTTATTGAAATAGCAGTGCCAGAGTGCCCCTCTACCACTCTACCGTTACCGGTGTGCTGTGCCTATCCACATGACGTAACGACCCTCATTATGTCCTGTTCCAAAGCCGCGCAGAGAGATCAACCCCGAAACAATAATGACGAATTGCTCTTAAAGTTGAGAGGAGAGTTACTTGTTCTATGAGAGGAATAGGAAAGATTCCGCATATCCCTGAGCACCTGGTTGTTTTACTGAAATCGCAAAGATTGGCCAGCAATTCGCCTCAAGCTCATGCCTTGGAAGGGTCCAATGGTATGTAATATCAAATTGGTCCGCTTATTGCAAAGGATAGCTTGACCTCAACCTTGATCGCTAGTAAGAATTACTCCTGCAGTTGGTTATAACAAAAGGTCCATGCTCCTACGGTGCCTACATCAGTTCGACACTGCCCTGAGAAGCTTGACAGTTCCTGCCCGTAAACCGTATACGACGGGTAGCGGTGAGGTATCTGTAATCTCTATGCCAAGTCGAGTTTTCCGGCTTGATATTAATTGCCTGTATGGCTAGTTCTCGAACGGGCTCATTTCATGCGAACTCTTCACTCTTGAGCTCTTCAGAAAGATGTGCTAATAGGCTAATACCACACTGTACCATCACGTGATCATACCAACTCATTCTTTGTTATCATTTCATGCGTCAGAGCGGATAAGTCTCCGATCGTCACCGCCTTCGCCATGATGTTGGCAGTACGCCAACAGTGAGCATTTTAGATCGCCGGTGCTCGCCGACTTGACAACTTTTCTAACCTCCCATTGTCGGTCACTGAGACAATGTCGAGCGCCAGAAACCTTTCGGTTGCCCTCCGACGGGCTCGTGTACCCAAGCCTCGCTGTTGGGTGCGCCCCATCCTCGCCAACGGTGCTTCTGTGCCGGCCGCAAGATCTTTCAGTGTCAGCTCCGTTGTCGGAGGTAATGCGACAAGAGAAATCAAGTACACCACCAACGCCTATCCCGAACTCAAGCGCAATCCCAATTTCGCCGAGATCACGGAACAGGATGTGAAGTACTTCAAGGAGCTGCTTGGCGCTCAATCGGCTGTGATTGATGGAGTGACAACAGATGCTACGGACGATATTGAACCCTTCAATGCCGACTGGATGCGCAAATACCGCGGCCACACGAAACTAGTCCTTAAGCCACAGAACAAGGAGGAGGTTAGCCAGATCTTGAAATACTGCAATGAGAAGAAGCTGGCTGTTGTTCCCCAGGGAGGTAATACCGGGTTGGTGGGAGGTTCCGTGCCTGTGTTCGACGAGATCGTCATCAATACTTCACGCATGAACAAGATTCGCTCTTTCGATGAGGCCTCTGGTGTGCTGGTCGTTGATGCAGGTGTCATCCTCGAGGTAGCAGATCAGTACCTCGCGGAGCGCGACCACTTGTTCCCCTTGGATTTGGGTGCAAAGGGTTCGTGCCATGTCGGAGGAAACGTCGCGACCAATGCGGGAGGACTCCGTTTGCTGCGCTACGGTAGTCTTCATGGCAATGTACTTGGCCTTGAAGCTGTCCTGGCGGATGGTACTATCGTCGACTCCCTCTCCACCTTGAGAAAGAACAACACAGGCTATGATCTGAAGCAGTTGTTCATCGGCTCAGAAGGTACTATCGGCATCGTCACCGGCGTCGCCATCTTGTGCCCTCCCCGGCCCAAGGCAGTCAATGTGGCCTACTTTGGTCTCGAAAGCTATGACCAGGTTCGCCAGGCGTACAAGGAGGCCAAGGGTCACCTTTCCGAGATCTTGTCCGCCTTTGAGTTGATGGACGGACGCAGCCAGAAACTCGTTCACGAGTCGACTGGCTCAAAGTACCCGCTGGAAGGGGAGTACCCTTTCTACTGCCTCGTCGAAACCAGTGGTTCCAATGCAGAGCATGACATGGAGAAGCTGGAAGGCTTCTTGGAGCATATCATGGGTGAGGGAATCGTCGCCGACGGTGTCCTGGCCCAAGACGAAACACAATTCCAGTCTATCTGGCGTTGGCGAGAGGGCATTACGGAAGCTCTGAGCCACCTCGGCGGTACTTACAAGTATGACGTCTCTATTCCTCTGCCTGAGTTGTACCAGCTTGTGGAAGACTGCCGTGAGCGCTTGACGAAGATGGGATTCGTGGGCGACGATGACTCTTTCCCTGTCCGAGCCGTCGTCGGATATGGCCATATGGGTGACTCAAATCTCCACTTGAACATTTCTGTCAGGCAGTACAACAAGGAGGTCGAGAAGGCCATTGAGCCTTGGGTGTATGAGTGGATCCAGAAGCGCAACGGCAGCATCAGCGCCGAGCATGGATTGGGCCTTGCCAAGAAGGATTTCATCGGGTACAGCCAGAATGATACCATGCTCAAGTTGATGAAGCAGCTGAAGACCTTGTACGATCCGGTAAGTCTAGCTCATTTCAGCACATCGTCCGAGGTTACTAATAATCTTCTAGAATGGGATTATGAACCCTTACAAGTACATTTAGGCATCAAGCGCTTGCATTGCGTTAATAGTTTCTAGCGGGTACGAATTATCGAAAGTATAGATAGATTTTTATTACATCAATCGGCAAGTCCGATATCATTGACGTCCTTCTAGAATATCGACGATTCGAAAACCCCTGTAGATCTCTGTACTTAATGTACCTTACGGCCTTAAGGACTAAGGGAGGTACCTACCTGACCAGTGGGGAATTTCCGTAAGCGGGCAGGCTCCACTTTGCTGCCTTAGGCGGCTGGGCAGCGTGGTTGCCCAGAGCTACGGGCTACCGCCTGTTTTGTACCATGGTAAAAGTGCGGCTGGTGATTACTAGGTAGATGTGATGGATCCTAAGTAGATACGTACTTGCTTCCCCTTTCATCCAGCTCAATTAGCTGTTTTCTGGTCACTGGGGGTTTTGAGTGTGCTCGACTTGTCCAGATCAGCCATCGAATCTTGCCGGGGCAGGAACTGCTGGTTGAGCTGTACGAGTTGCGCCTTGTGTGTCCGCTCGTTGTTGTATTTTGCGTATCCGCCTCGGATCCAGCCACCCCTGAGCGACGACTCGGGTAGCAACTCGCGCAACCATGGAGGGAGATATGGCCAGTCGGTATCAGATGATGGAGGAGCTGGGAAGTGAGTGGTTACCAACCGCCAAAAAAAAAAAGAAGAATTTGCAATGGGCATTTAACTGACGAGGAAATTGTTGTTGGCAGGCGGAAGCTTTGGGACTGTGTACAAGGCTATTGAAAAATCTACCGGGGAAATTGTCGCGATTAAACATGTACGCCCTCACGAGTGTGTGACCTGTTTTCGCTTCTCAATTGACCGTCTGGAAATGGTTTTAGATCGACCTCGAATCGAGCGAAGATGATATTCAGGAAATACAGCAGGAAATCTCCGTCCTGGCCACATGCGCAAGCCCCTACGTGACGCAGTACAAGGCGAGCTTTCTTCGGGGACACAAGCTGTGGATTGTCATGGAATACCTGGGTGGAGGATCTTGTCTCGACTTGGTAAATATGTCAATTGGTCGAGTGCGTCATTGGAACTCCGTGATCGCTAACTGGTATATAGCTGAAACCCGGTGTCTTCAGCGAAGCGCATGTTGCTATTATCTGCCAACAGCTGCTACAAGGCATGGAATATTTACATAGTGAAGGCAAAATTCACCGCGACATCAAAGCTGCCAATGTGCTTCTCTCCCACACAGGAAAGGTCAAATTGGCCGACTTTGGCGTCGCGGCCCAGCTTACCAACATCAAATCGCAACGCAATACCTTTGTCGGAACCCCGTTCTGGATGGCTCCTGAAGTAATTCAACAAGCCGGATACGATTATAAAGCGGACATTTGGTCGCTGGGGATTACCGCGATCGAGATGATCAATGGAGAGCCGCCCCATGCGAGTACGCACCCAATGAAGGTCCTCTTCCTCATTCCAAAGGAGCCGGCCCCTCGATTAGAAGGAAACGAGTATAGCAGCGCTTTCAAGGACTTTATAGCGCAATGCTTGACTAAGGACCCGGATCGGAGACCCAGCGCGAAGGAGCTTTTGAGGCACAAATTCATTCGCAATGCAGGGAAGACCGAGGCGTTGCAGGAACTCATCCAACGGAAGCAGGATTGGGATGCCGGCAAAGGTGTGAGGCAGAACGTCAAATACTATGCAGAGTCTCTGTGAGTTTTCGCCCTGGGGTTTTGAGTTGTCCATCCGCTAATCATACTCGCACAGCAATACTATCACGCGGCTGGAAGACGACGACGGATGGGTCTTTGACACTGTCAAGGCACCTCCCACGTCGATCCCAGAGGATTCGCAGGACCTAGTAGCTGACCGAGATACACGAGACCGTTTGTACGACGAAGCCTCGGAGCTGATGGACAATCTGCACATGTCCAGTCCGCCTCTCCCGCCGAAGCATGCCACGAACTCGACCGTGCGACGAACTCCAGCGGCTGACCGGAGTCCCTCTGTGCGACGGCCAAAGCGACGATCAAGTGGCGTAAAGCAGCCCCTGGGCGTCAACTTGACTTTTGGCAACAGCCCGTCAACAGTTCGCCAGTTCCGTCGGGTGTCGGATAAGACCGGGCCCGACACCTCGTACATAAACCAGTACCAAATCGCTGTTGATGAGAACGCAAGTCCCAAGACACTGTATTCGGATTCGAACAGCAAGGAGGCTCAGCTAGGGCGCCGAGCTTATAGCAAGGCCGTCGGCCTTGCTTGCCAGGAGGTCCTTGGCACTACCGCAGACCAGGAGAAAAGAGAAGCCATCTCAAGACTGGCGGAGGCCTGGAGCGACCTGGAGATGGTCGACCCCGAGGGACTATACCATATTCTCAAATCTATGAATGAGAAACTTCAAAGGTCGGTGATCGCAGATTCGCGTGTCCGTCACTAGCGTAACACTGACTGACTCTCGCCTCCTTTGCAGTGATTCGAAACTCGCAACTCTCGTCCCGCAAGCTCCACAACCCGAATCCCCACAGAGACCACGGCTCGTTTTAGCACAAAATAATCCACATCTGAAGAGCCACCGTCGCCGTCAGTCGTCAGCAGCGCCGGACTCCAATTGGCCGCCGGCGCAGCTGTCAACCCTTCCCGGTCAGCAGGTGCCGGGAATGGAACACACCAAGCAACTGTCGGATGTTCTTTACCAGCGTTGGTCCGACGGCCTTCGTAATCGCTGGCCTGGAATCTAATTCCATCTATCTACTCTTTGGCTGTCCTTGCTGGATCACTTTCCCTTTCGCTGTATAAAAGGTTCTGGGGCGTCACCGGCTTCGATATACGATGATCTTCTTCTCTACCGGTTTGCTGGTTTGCTATTTTTTTCTCGGTGTCTTTGGCATACAACTGTCGCTCTCAATGTCTCACTAGGGGCGTTCGTTCTTCACATGGCTTGTTTTCTGATGGGTTGAACTGCTGGTCGATGATACCCACTTCGAGAGCTGTCTCTGTCCTTTGCTGCCCTGGGTAAGCATGTATGGTAGATTATCTGCCTGCGGGCTTGACTTCTACTCAGCAGCTGGCCTTCTCTCTCTCTCTGTTTTTGGTTTGCATAAGGATTGGTCCTGGTGTTCCCATTTTTTGACTAGTTTCTGGTGAATCTGTTAATTTCTTCTTGTGTGACTATCGGAATTCCCCTGTCCAGCATTGTTTTTGTGATTACCTCTACTTCTGTTGATCATACACCCTGGGTCCTCGTGTGTCCTGCGTTGCGGAGCATTTTACTTCTGTTCTCTCTGTGATATATGTGTTGCTGGTCTTTAATTGTAGCTACTGTGATTCTTTCCTGTATGTTGTGTTTGTTGAGGCGTGAATATAGCGAGTCTTTTGCAAAATAATAATAACCCGATATATTCATTCATCGATCTGACTGTCGAACAGTCCTTCGTCTGCACGATGCATTCCTAAACGCTCAATTCCATCTCAGAGGGAGGTTGGCTCCGTGCGTGCCGCTGGACAGTGCACTATTCTTCAACATCAAGCCGCAAATGATGCTTCCTGAAGAATCACGTTGTATTGCTGTAAGACTTGATTACAGCCAACTTAATTACACATGGGAAACTGCCAATTGGAGCCACCAGACTCGAGGCGATCGTGCCCCTGAGTGGATGAAACACGGCCGTCCACGCTGGAGGCGGAAAGGATGCGCAGTGGGTGACCCGCCGCGCTCTTGACGTCCTCCTGAGTCGTCGCTCGTCAGGCTAAAGACTAGACTACGGGGAATTCTGGGCCAGGCGGTCTGTTGGTCTAGTCAATTAGACTGTTAAATTAACGTGGACTGCTTGGTTTGGATAGGGGAGACGAGGCTGTCCTCATATCTGTCCAGTGATGCTGTTTGGCCAGACCTCTCTGCATAATTTCTCCGAATCTTTCTTCCTTCTCTCCTTCCGTCGCTTCATCTCTTTGCTTCCTTCATCATCAGTCCATCGCTCTCATTTGGCTGGCCAATCCTCACGCTCATTTTGTCATGATCGATTCACTCCCTTAAGTACAATCGCTACGTTCTACGCTTTATTCTGTCCCCAAGATGGGGAGCTCCCCCGGAACGGGCGACGCGGAACCTGCGCCGGAAGCGTCCCAAACAATGTCGCCATCGTTCCAAAGTCAGCGGGACCTGCCAGCTGCCAGTGCTGAGGCTTCACCTGTGGTACAACGTCGTCAAGAACTTCAGCAGAAGCGATCGTCTGTTCCCCCCAGACCGAACGGTGCTGCTCGACACGCAAAACGTCTAACCCTCAACTTTCCTATCAACGTTGTTCCGGGTCTTGAATCCGATCCAAGCGTCGCTTCCCCTGAATCTATGACACCTGCCACATTCTCGGCGGCCCGTCCATCTCCTCTCCCTGCCGCTGGAACTCCGGTCGTGTTCGACGATCAGGATGATGGCTCTAGCCTCCTGACCGCCATTGCATCGCAGGAACGGAAGGTGTTGGAACTCCGCGAGGAGCTTCAGCGGGCGGAGGCGGAGCTGGATACTTTGAAGAAACAATGGGCTTCCTCGGAGAAGACGAAGAAACGCACGGAGATCAATCACCGAGCTGAGCCGTTGCTCCCTCTGCGGTCGCCTGACCGCGCGACCCATGACGAATCGAGCCAGCATCATAGAGAACGCAGTGCAGGCACAGCGGATGGCTCTTCGGCCGTGCAAGCTCGACTCAGCCGCGATCTCGACCGGCGCCAAAGCCTACGAGCTAATGTGAATGGCGGCTCCGCGATATCTGCGAATGGCCGGCGGGTGTTCCAGGGGTCTCATACGCGGGCGTTGTCGCTGCTCTCGCCCGTTAATGGTCCTGGTGTCAACCAGCAGTTTGATACTGATGCGGACGGCAACCGTGCGACCCGGACGCCGCGGTCGGCGACCTTGCCTTCTGTTGAACGCGCTGCAACGACCGAGATGAACGAACGGCCTACAGAGGATGTGATCTCTCAGTGGCGGAGAACCATGCCGCCGCCGTCTCGGGAGGCACTGGTGCGTACCGGCAAGCAGATGGCTTCAGATCTGAGAGAAGGCTTGTGGACATTCCTGGAGGACATTCGACAGGCTACCGTTGGAGAAGAGGGAATCAATGCCACTCAGTCGAGAGGAGTGCCCCCCGCGTCCCGAAGCAGAGACCGCTTGTCGGTGCAAGGAGGCAAATCATCGCGGTCACCGTCGTCCTCGCGGGGCAAGGCGGCAGGGACACAATTAACTGGTAAAGACACTAAATCGGCGGACATAGACGTGTCATTCTGGAGTGAATTCGGCATTGATACAGCTGGGCAGAAGTCCACGAAAGCTCGCGGAGCCTCAAATACCCCACGCGGGGCGACCGAACAAGAAACCTCCGACAACAATCTCGACGTTGAAGAGAACTGGGATGACTGGGATACTCCTCAACCTAAGAAGACGCACACCCCTTCGTCGAGCCGCTCCACGCTGCAGTCCAAGCACGACCAGTCTCCGATGACACAGAACAGTAGCCCTCGTACAAGTGGCAGGTATGCTATTTGATCTGCACCAGGCTTGAAACTCGCTGTCTGACTGATTGATATGCGCTGACTTGGATTAGTTTTGGAGACTGGCGCGCCACACAAGATGACTTCGTCCCCGACCCCAGCGTATCAGATGGCATTCCCTGGCCTGCAATCGCCAAATTCGCTCCCTCGAAGCTCACCCGGACGGCATCCAATCTCATGGCCGAATGGGAGCGCAGTCTTTCACCCTCGCCTGAGAGAAAGAATCAATCGAGCTCCCCGCCGCTCAATAAGGACGATAAAAAAGACTGAACCCGTCCGTGGGCTGTCCGACTGCATGACCCTTGACCTGATACATGTTTCTTTCTACTTCAGGCTACACTGTAAATACAAACATATATGGACATGCGCTCTACCTGGCTGGATCTCTGCATGGACCAAGTACAAAGTAACGCAGGGCTACGATTATCGTTTGAATACCCTTACGACCACAGCGTTTCTTCCCACCCAATTTTGTGGATTTGCCATTCTAAGCCTTCTTTTCTTCCTTCCCCTGGTCCCAAACGTGTTTGATGAAGCCCAATTCCGACACGGATTATGTACGAGGATATTATGTGTACATATGTTTCGCCTTTATATTTCTATAAATTTTGCAATTAGATGCGAAGCAACCAAATTCTTCTCCAGCTCGATAAACATCCCGACAATAGAGCGGTATTGAAGGCGAACATAGGCCAGATCATGTGACATATTGCGCTTTTGGCCGCTGCACTACGCCGTAAAATAAATTTGTTTTCGCCATCTCCGCAAAATGTCCGAGGTTGATTATCTTGAAGTCAGCGCTTGATTCCCATTTAGCGACTATTTTCTCCTTTCTTTGCGCGAATTCTACTAGCAGAATTTCTGCGCATACACAGCACTCGGGAGCTTCTACGCCGAGACACACTCCCTAATCCACCATGAGCTTTCCAGGAATGACTCCGCCCATCGGCGGTATGGGAGGAGCAAACAATATGCAGGGCATGAGTGATCAGGAGCAGGCAATGGTCAAGGCGGTTCGTTCGCAGACATCATCTTCTACCGGCGTACCTGCTAACATAAACCACAGATGCACGCAGCAATGGAATCCTGTCCCGTCAAGACCGCCATCTCCGGTACAATGGGTTTTGCGCTTGGCGGTGCCTTCGGCTTGTTCATGGCTAGTGTATGTTGTCCCGATGCCCCCAATTCAAAAATACAGAAGAAGTTGTCTGACCGTGTCTCTACTTCTAATAGATGTCCTACGACTCCGCATTCACCCCCCAAGGAGCCGCGCTCTCCGACCTCCCCTGGCGCGAACAACTCCGCCGCGGATTCAAAGACATGGGCGCCCGCTCCTGGTCGTCGGCCAAGAACTTCGGTATCGTCGGTGCCCTCTACGCCGGCACGGAGTGCTGTATTGAGGGACTGCGGGCGAAGAACGACCTTACGAACAGCGTGGCGGCCGGTTGCATCACGGGCGGGATCCTCGGTGCAAAGGCTGGTCCGCAGGCGGCGGCTGCTGGCTGCGTTGGCTTTGCGGCTTTCAGTGCGGCGATTGATGCGTATATGAGAATGCCCTCGGAGGAGTAGTGCTTCACTTGCTTCGCTTGCTATGCGGTGTCACTATTCTGTTTTGAACAGATGGTTGCTTTGCAAAACGTGTATAAACATTGGCGCGGCGTTGGGTTGTTATTGTGATTTGATTGGGATAGATATGGGCAGCATCTCCGGCGTTCCTGGTGATTTTGTTTTGTCAATGCGGATGAGTGTGCTATGTCCGCGCGTGCATATACTCCGCTTCTGCACTTTGTGCATATGTTAGATCTTGAGTGGGCGCTGACTTAGTTGTATGGTATGGTTGCGACTCGCAACTCAAGTGTACTATATCTACACAGTGATATGGTTATAGAAGGGTGTGGATACAGGCATAATACTCCAATCTGCATGGCTGACCATTACGCTGCTTTTGAACTCTCCAAAGAACCAGTAGAAAGTAAAGAAACAAATACAATATCAACTTGATCTCAAGAAGATTGTACAAGAACAGATTTTGGTTTTTATCCTATGAACAGCACGACATTCCCCGTTGCGCCACGAGATTGCACGTTGGCTTCACCCATGACGTAGGGGGGCAACACTATATATTTACATAACATCCGCAAACACAGACACGGGACAACAATGTCAACTGCGCCTTCTATTATCCATAGAGATGACCTGTACGGTAAGTCTCAATACCATCAAAACATAATCAATCTCTAACTCGATCTACGGAGTAGCAAGTCGAGTATTCCGTCGACAAGCCGCTGAACCGGGAACCACCGGTGAAGCAACTCGTCTCGAGGTATGCGCCTTCCATCCTCGACTGTCATCGTAGTACAGGAAACGGATAAAAACAAGGATAAGGATACTGAAAGTATAAAGCTTCCTCACACCAGCTGATATCTCCTATGATCGCAACCACGGCCCCGTCCCCCATCTCTCGGCGGATTCTCATACAGTGCACGTCGACGGCTTAGTCTCAAACCCTCTCACCCTATCTGTCCAGCAGTTGGCAAGCGAATTCCCGCAGCATGAAGTCGTCTGTGCGCTGGAATGCGCTGGCAATCGGCGACACACGATGCGCACCATGCTGAAGGAAGTGCAGGGTATTGATTGGGGGGATGCAGCCGTCATGAATTGTAAATGGAGGGGGCCGAGATTACGGGATGTGTTGCTTGCCGCTGGGGTCAGGGAGGACGCAGCCGGTCTGCATGTGGAGTTTTCGTGCTATCAGGTCAAATGTCAGGAGGATGAGTGGTTTGGGGCCAGTGTGCCGCTGGAGAGATGTTTGAGGGAGGACAGGGATGCGATTTTGGCCTTGGAGGTGCCGTTTCCTCGTTCCCTTTATCGTTCCTTGGAGGGAGACTGAAGGTGGAACAGATGAATGACGCTCCTCTCCCCGTGAACCACGGGTATCCCGTGCGTGCTATCCTGCCTGGCATTGTTGGCGCGAGATGGGTCAAGTGGCTGGACCGCATCACTGTCTCGGAGCATGAGTCGCCGAACTTCTACCAGCAGCATGATTACAAGGTCCTGCCGCCAGCGGCCGTCGATCACGAATCCGCGCGGCCGTTTTGGGAGCAGACACCCCCCATGTCCGATATGCCTATCAACTCTGTTGTGGCGGTCCCGGAAGATAACGCGACGGTTGTTTTGTCGAGTTCTGAGTTTATGGAGGTGAAAGGATATGCTGTTCCGCATGGTGCGGATGGACCAGTTACTCGCGTGCAGGTTTCAGTGGATGGAGGGAGGACGTGGGTAGATGCCAAGATTGAGGAAGCTGGGCAGGGGAATAGGCGATGGTGCTGGGTGTTGTGGACGGCAGTTGTGTCTCCTGAAAGAGGAACGGGAAGGGAGGTGTTAAGCCGAGCGTTTGATGCTGCCGGGAATGTACAAGTAGAACATTCGCAGTGGAACCTGAGGGGTGTCGGGTATAATGGATACGGGCGAGCGAGGAATCTGACAATCATTTAGTGCAAGAAAGACTTTCGAGTTATCCAAGAGTTGTATGGCAAGGCAGACTCTTTGATTGACTGAAGGACAGACATAACGTAAATCGTAAAGTATATTGCACTGGTCTAATCACTATACATACAGCCAATCATGGCAACACAACGTATTTCTCCAGGTGCTTGGGAATCGAGCTTCTGAGGCCCTTGCTCTGAAGCCAGGTGTTAGAGAAAAGCCGGTCAGCATACCGGTAGGCACCATCGCACAGAATGGTCACCACATTGCTACCCTTGGGGAGCTTCTCGGCGACCTCCTTGGCGGCGACGACGTTGAGAGCGGAGCTAGCGCCCAGGTAGAGGCCCTCCTCATCAAGACAGCGGTAAACCATCTCAATGGACTTTTCGTCGCTGATGGTGAGCGATCCGTCGAGCAGATCGATGTCGGGCTGCAGATTGTCGGTGACACGACCCTGACCGATGCCCTCTGTGATACTGCTCCCAGTGCGCTCGATCAGGTTTCCGCCGCTCTGGATGTAGCTGTGGAGAACACTGCCCGGAGGATCGGCAAGGAAGCACTTCACGCGGCCATCGCTGGCGGTCTTGAGGTATCGCGTGATACCAGCCAGGGTGCCTCCTGTTCCAGTAGCGCATGTGAACGCATCGACCTTTCCATCCGTTTGAGCCCAGATCTCGGGTCCAGTCGTCTCAATGTGGGCCTGGCGGTTGGCGGTGTTGTCGAACTGGTTCGTCCATACGGCATTTTCCAGCGACTCCGCATGTCTGCGCGCCTGGTGGTTATAATTTTGAGGATTGTCGAATGCAACAGCGGGCACAGGATAGACCTCGGCACCCAGCAGACGCAGCAGGTCAATCTTACCCTGAGACTGAGTGTTCGGCATGTATATGACAAGCTTGTAGCCTTTGGATCGGCAGACATGCGCCAAACCAATGCCGGTGTTGCCAGCTGTCCCCTCAACGACTGTACCGCCTGGTTTCAATAGACCCTGCTCTTCGGCGTGCTTGACGACGAACAGCGCCGCCCGATCCTTGACGCTGCCACCGGGGTTCTGGAACTCGGCTTTGCCGAAGATATTGCGTCCGGTCTCCTCAGAAAGTCGCTTCAATCGGATGAGAGGGGTGTTTCCAATAGCTGCAAGAACAGAGGCTGATTAGCATGCTGCAATTGCTCTATCACCGTGAGATGTCCATTGCGGTACTCTATACCTTCCGTCAACCCGTTCACGACGCCTTGAGCTCTGGATACCCGCTCATGATATGCGGTCGATGCCTCTACGGCGCGGAGGGCAGTTGTGCCAAACCGGCGTACACTTTGTCGAAACATGCTTCCCAGTAGCCCACAGGTACTCCAGAACACCCGTCAACGGTTTGCACGCCGGAGAAAGACGAAATGATTGCGAGTATAAAGAACCCTAGATTCTCGGACGCCGAGGATCGGCATTAGTCATCTTCAATCACGTGAACTATGGCGTGATGAGGCTTGTAACAAGTAGTTGGGCATATGGAGCCAGCCATTTCCTCTTGTGTGGAGTTGGTCTGCGCAATATAAGATGAGTTTATAATAGGGTGATATGAGAGGAAACCAAGTAAAGCAGTCTGTTTCGTGGCCATGTGGTTGTTCAGGTAGATTGATGTTTGTACCCCTCCAGAGATACGTAGATGCACGGAAACCACGTGCCAAAAGCCCTAGCCCTTATCTCAGTGCTTCCCGTTTGGGCTGTTTGTTTATCCTTTGGGCCCCGTGACAGCGATCTGCGTTGGGAGTGGTACCTCCGCTCTGCTGAAAGACGGCGTCCATCTTGACCACGATTCGTATCCAGTCACACAACTGATAATATACAGCAATAAATGAGATGCAGATGACTACTCTGAGATGATTCAAGTCCTTTTCATTTGACAGAATTGTATACCGTCTCTCACTACCAAGCAGACATGCCTGGTCGAGTTTCCGGCCGTTCGACCTCTGCGCCGACACGCAGGTCGTCGGCTCAGCCCTCAGCATCGGGAGGTCGCGCCGGGTCTGTGACCCCGTCCTTTGCGATTCCAGAGGAACCTGCTCCGCCCGAAGCATCGCCTAACCTACGTCGCGATGTTTGTTTGATTTTTGCTGACGCCCAGCGTTCAACGACCGGTCACCGAAAGCTCGTGGTGCGATTAAGGAAGCTGCAGGAGATATGCTGCGGGATTTCTGCGAAGAAGACGAAGAAGGATGGCAAGGACCCTGAGGTTCGGGAGGAACTTTTGCTGCCGGGCGAAGAAACAATTCCGGAGAAGGAGATCAACGTAGAGGTTGGTCGCTGTTTGCTGCGCATACTGCCGATAAAAAAGACCGAGCCAGTTGGCGATCGAATTCTGCGGTTTGTTGGAACTTTTCTATCTCACGCGACTGAGAAAGATGCCGAAATCTTCGCCGCCGGGAATGACGAGGATGACATGCAAAATATCATCGAGACCCCGACTGCCCGACTGGCGACTCATCTGATCAGCGTTGTTGTGCCGTTGTTGGCGGCAAAGGACAAGATCGTCCGTTTTCGCGCGACACAAATTGTCACCCACATTGTCAATTCTCTCGAAACAATCGATGATGATCTCTACCATACCATTCGACAGGGACTATTGAAACGAATTCGAGACAAGGAGCCTTCAGTGAGGGTACAAGCTGTGCTGGGGCTTGGACGCCTGGCAGGAAACGAAGAAGAAGACGACGATGACAACGGCGACAGCTCCAAAGCCCTCCTCGAAAAGCTCATTGACATTATGCAGAATGACACAAGCGCTGAAGTGCGAAAGACCTTGTTGCTCAATCTGCCTCTAGTGCCCGCGACTCTCCCGTATCTGCTCGAACGTGCACGAGACCTCGAAGCAACTACCCGACGAGCTTTATATTCCCGCCTACTTCCCACTTTGGGTGACTTCCGCCATTTGTCGCTTTCCATGAGAGAGAAACTGCTTCGTTGGGGCCTTCGAGACCGAGATGAAAGTGTCCGAAAGGCCACTGGAAAGCTGTTCTACGACCGCTGGATTGAAGACTGCGCTGGCACAAACAACGATTCCGAAAGCGGTCCTTCCACCCAGCGCTCTCCCCCAAACATCCCGGCACTGCTGGAGTTGTTGGAAAGAATTGATGTAGTCAGCTCCGGGATGGATTCCGGAATCGCGCACGAGGCTATGCGCAGCTTCTGGGAGGGCCGCCCCGATTATCGAGAGGCGGTTGTTTTTGATGAGCCGTTCTGGGAATCCTTGACGGCCGAGTCAGCCTTTATTCTACGATCATTTAACGACTTCTGCCGTGTCGAGAACGAAGGAAAGTTCGATAGTCTCGCCGACGAGAAGATACCTGAGGTGACAGCCTTCGCGCATTTTTTTAAAAAATACATGACCGAGCTCCTACAAAGGAAGAAAATGGCCAAGGATACTAGTGAAGCCAACGATGACGACACGGTTGAGAACGAATTTATCGTTGAACAACTATTACATATCGCCATCACACTGGACTACAGTGACGAGGTCGGCCGCCGGAAAATGTTCTCTCTCCTTCGCGAGTCGCTAGCCGTGCCCGAGCTACCTGAAGAGTGTACCAAGCTCACTGTCGAGACCTTGAGATGTGTGTGCGGACCAGCGGCTGCGGCTGAGAGCGAATTCTGCAGTGTCGTCCTCGAAGCTATTGCCGAAGTCCATGACACTATCGTGACCGAAGATAGTTTTGTTTCAGCCAAGTCTGAAATCAGCGATGCGACCTCCAGCCGCCAACGGTCTGAAACCCCAGCAGACAGCGATGCTGAAGTCCCCTTCAATAAGGAGGAGGCAAAGGCCAAAGTTTTGCGGGAGATCGTGGTCAATATGAAATGTCTGCATATTGCCCAATGTATGTTGCAAAACGTGGAAGGCAATCTGCAACAGAACATGAACCTGGTTACTATGCTCAACAATTTGGTTGTGCCAGCGGTCCGAAGCCACGAGGCTCCTATCCGTGAAAGAGGTCTAGTGTGCCTTGGTCTCTGCTGCTTGTTGGAGAAGGTGAGTTCTGTAAACATTACCATATTTCCCAACAAAGTGCTGATCCATTATCCCCCGGGTTCCCAGACTCTCGCCGAAGAGAATATGACGCTCTTCATCCACTGTTATAGCAAAGGCCACGAAGGCCTGCAGGTCACCGCCTTACACATTTTGTGTGATATGATAACGACGCATCCCTCGCTACTCGCCCCTGTCCCGCAGTCTGACGGGGAAACCGTTTCCCCGCCAGCATTCCAGAAGCCACTGCTCAAGGTTTTTGCAAGAGCCCTGAAGGCTAGCTCTCCGAACAGTGTCCAAGCCGCTGCAGCCACCGGCCTTTCAAAGTTGTTGCTCACAAATACTTTTACGCCGTCTGGAGCAAACATTCCACCGGCCATCCAGGAGTACAACGAGTCCGCTGTGGAGACCCTCTTGCAATCCCTCATTGTTTCGTTCTTCCACCCACGTACTCGGGATAACCCAGCCTTTAGACAAGCGTTGGCCTATTTCTTCCCTGTTTACTGCCATTCCCGCTTGGAGAACACCCAGCACATGCGAAAGGTGACCGTTCCCGTTATCCGTGCGGTTCTCAATGCGGCGGAGGAGTACTACTCCCTAGAAGCCGAGGAAGATAGTGATGGCGAGATTGATGAGACTGTTGGGCAGAGGGAGGTGAAGGCCCTGATGGCAGGTGTCGTGGGCATGCTTGCAGAATGGACGGATGAGCGGAGAGTGGTGGGCCTGGGTGGAGAGAAAATTCTGGCGGGCGTTCCGACGAGCTCCAACGCCTGTGGATTCGTGCACTTGGCCCTGGTGAAAGATATTCTGGAGCGCGTTCTGGGAATTAGCACCGGTCCCAACCGGTGCTCCAAGGAAGAAAAGAAGCTTCTATTCTCACTGTTGAGCAAGCTTTATATATCTCCTCCTGTGGTACCATCGCGATCTGGGTCTAGGATCCCCGAAGGCGATGATCAATTCCGCTCCAGCACCCAGAGTGCCAGTGGGGGTGAAATCTCCCCCGAGAATGTGGCTCTTGCCCAGGAAGTTAAGGAATTACTGGACGAAACTATCAAAGAGGGTGTGGCCGCCGAAGCAGCGGGTCGAAATGCGCTTGTGAAGGTGAAGAATGCTGTTCTCAAGCTTCTTGCAGCTGCGCAGGGCACCAGTTCCGACAGTGTCAGGCCGCGTGAAGGCACCGAGGAACCCGAAAGTGATGCCATGAGCATCCGCTCTGGCAGTGTCCGGCCGTCCATTGAGCACCCAGGCAAACGCCGGCGGATAGTCTCAGTAGAGCCCAGCATTATGGAGGAGGATGAAAACGATGACAGTCGAGGAACGATCATCAAGTCTGAAACTCATGACGACTGAGGGCGTAGGTCACCTGGTGCTCGACTCATTTCTTTCTCTTGCGCCGGCGTTGAATGATGGTCACGGTTTGAGGATGGGATGGGTTATGACATGGTTATGAGGTTTTCGTGTAATTATTGATTTGGTCTATTGGTGTATATGATTGACGCTGCTTCATTCCAATCTACTGCACCTCTTGGTTTCTCGTGATGATCTACCTTTGATACGGTGGATGCTGACTACTGTGAAATATGATTACTCTATTAAATAAGATACACAAAAGTGTCCCTCGGATACGAGACTGGCCGACCCAAGGATTGGGAGGTTCAGTCAAGAGACACTCCGAATTGAATTTTCTTGACTTTGAATTTTAAATAACCTTGTCAATGGCATGAAATGGCTGACAGGTCTGTCCCGTCCTGGTTGTCCAATAAGACTTCGCCCGTCTATATCGTTGCTGTCACTGAGAGATTGGAGTACATAGGGTGGAATTCAAGTCAATCCGTGTGTCTCAGTCTTAAATGCTCTATCCCTCTGTCTTTCTACCTATATTTCAAGATTTGCGTTGCGATTATCTTCTGACGGGTCAGCATAATACCTCTTACACTGATAATATATGCAAGGAGCGCTAGCTCCCAGGTAGACTACGTGTATTAAGACTAAGGACCAGGATAGAAACTTGTTTGCTAAATAGGTTAGTATTTCTATATGATGGACACTGTCCGTCAACTTATTTGGCAAGGATTGACATCTATTATCAAGAATAAAAAAAAGGCATCTCTGCGAAATGATTTTTTCTCTTCCATATTATCGAGAGTCGGACCAGTTACCAGGTCCTCTTCCTGAGCAACATGAAATCGATCACGCAGTGCGGAGTCTCCCCACTATTCGCAATCCAGATTATGGTGGACGTCTTGTGGTAATTAGAGACCTGTATGTTGTCAAATATGGGCGATATGTCGCTGAAAATGAGGGCTATGCGTTGCTTTTCATTGAGCAGAAGCTTTCCATCCCGGCACCACGACTTTACGCCATGTATCGAAATAAGGACAAGCTCTATATTGTCATGCAATATATTCCAGGAAGCACCTTGGGCCACCTATGGCCCACCCTTCCAGAAAACGATAAAACTTCCCTGCTGGGCCAACTTCGATCCATTTTCGCAGACATGAGATCGCTCCCTTCTCCCGGATTCTATGGAAGTGTTGCACAAGGGCCTGTTCCTCATCGATACTTCTTCTCGCAAGACGGCAGTCCTGCAATCACAGGCCCTTTCACCAAAGAAGAGGATTTCAGCAAAGCCATTGCTCTTCGTTCTAGGCAAATTTGGAGTGATAGGGCTAGACATGGCTGGACGTCTGACTTTCTGGCTCGACACCTTCCATCTGCTCTCAGCGGCCATCAACCCACTTTCACCCATGGAGACCTATACAGAGAGAATATCCTTGTCGAGAAAGACAAAAATTCCACATCAGGCGTTGGGGAATATAGAATCGCCGCTATCATTGATTGGGAGACGGCTGGCTGGTACCCTTCGTACTGGGAATATGGTTATATCTTTCCTCTTTTCCAATGGGTCGACGACTGGCCAGAAAGCGTGGAGAGGATACTCGACCCTTGGCCTTTGGAAGCCGCACTGTTACGATTCGTGCAGGAAGACTTGGAATTTTGACGTGAAACGAGAGGAAAGTCGGTAGACTTGAGGACGAACATATCTGGCTACATTGGTCTCGCTATCATTCGAGTCGCTTTCGTAAACCGCATAGTACCACGGGCTGGCAAAGCCGTACCAAATCCATCCGCTTCTCTCCTGTTCAATGCGTCCTCATTGAAAAGTTGTCGTGTATAAATGGGTGTTTCTAAATGATCTTCGCGCTCGACTCAGGGGAAGGACGACGATGCATCCTTGACCAGCTACGCGGAACAGAGCAAGTATAAATCCCCCTTCAACGGATTTACCCTTGTTGTTGCCAGCCCTCCGATCAGCATGCCCCGATCTGGGTAAATTAAATAGGAAGACGATAATACCATGTAACCTGAATGTCATTGAACAGTTCCACATCCCAAGATAGTACGACACATCTAGCAGTGGTGACGAGATCCTCGAGAATATGCTGAGAAAATGGTTGCCATTTTTATTAAGGTATACAAGGAGCATTCATTCCAGTGGTCTCGCTAGCTCTCAGGTGCATCTACTAAGACTAAGGACCAGGATAGAAACCTGTTTGCTACCTTGGTTAGTACTTGTGCATGATAGGACACTGCCATGGTATGATGTCTAATAATATCAATACATCCGCCTTATTAATTATATCACTTTACCCAATGCCACTAGCTGGAGCTACAGTACTTACCTTAGTTTCAAATTCCCCATCATGCCATATGTTGATATTTTATTGGTTTATTGAGACTATTCAATTGGATTTACGGCACAAGGCCATCACCCGTCTGCGGACGCAGCGTGGACACCAACAGGAGAATGAACCCGGTATTCCATTATAAGTAAATCAGTGTCCTCCGGTTTTATCCTCAAAAGGCCATGCCTTCTCCCACAACACCCGTTCCTCTGGAGTTGTCGATTCTCGATCTAAAAACCTCTTTTTGGCAAGCTCAACTCTTCTGACGACTTCATCATAATCGCCAGGAGATACAGCTCCATTCCAGCCTGTATATACTCCTATTTCATCGATCACTCGCGCTTTCCTCTCGATGTCCCTCTCCCATTTGGCGTACTCCTCGCTCTGTTTATCCAGGTCATGTTGCGTGTAGTTCAGGGGACATGGTACGCTTGGATAGCCGTGATGATCCTCCCCGACCAGCTGTTTCCATACATCATCTCTCGTGACGTCGGCGAGAAGCTTTTGGACATAAGGCTCCCCATCGTCGAATATGGACCCAATTAAACTTAGTATCTCAGACTGCAAAGTTTCCCGGTACTCAAATGCGCGAATCAATTCTGGGGCTTCTTTATAGACTTGCGTCTCATAGTAAAGCCAGAGTGTCTGTGCGAGGAAAAGCTCCTTAGCGGCTTTTTTATCTTGGGCATTAAGCTCTTCGATATTCTCTGGCAGAGTAGGCTGTATGAACCGCTCTGGCTTTGGACCGTCATACTCTATGAGAGACGGATGATGGGCGACAAGAAACATCGGATAAATAGGGATCGCTTGCCAGTCGATGATACTGGTTATTTGGGTAGGGTTGTCTTTGTCAACGAAGATGTTGTCTGTGTGTAGGTCGTTGTGCCAGATTATGCCCATATTGAGTGCATCGTCTTTTGGTAGGATGTGTTGATAGATCTTGAGAAAGTCCTGTAGGACGGAGACTTTTGCCTCTTTTGTAGGACGGTAGCCACCAGGCCCATTGAAGATACCCTGTTGGCAATCTCGAGGAAACTCAGAAAATTTGTTCAGACAGGCTAGTTCCCGCTGAACTAGCGCATTCATGGTGCTCTTCGTACTTGACCCTGGTGGGAGATGGTATCAGCCTAACTAGCACGTAGTTAGAGAGATGAGATACCTTACAGGGTCCCCTATGCACATCGACTTCCCCTCGTCTGTCATCAAACCACGCTCGCCCTGTTGTCGGTCCGATTGCGAAGGTATCATCAATTTTGATACTTTCGGACTCTGAGACGTCTTGACAGCGGTATAATGAACCGTGAAATGGGAACTTTGCCCGAGAGAGTGTGGAAGTAATGGAACCAATCTGCTTCGTTATAGACAGTTTGTCCCGCGGCTTCAGGCTTTCCCACACGCGACCAAGCTCGATACCTTCGGCCTTCTCCATGATGATATACTCTGAGCCTAGTTTACTCCCGACAATCCGCGAGCAATATGAAAGGACTCTAGGAACAGGAAGTTGAAGATTCTCTCTTGCCTTTAAAGATGTTAGCTTAACTGAGTTATTTTTATTGACTGTTCGCTTCGTCCGAAGCTGTGGGATTTCGCACATATTGCATTGTTGCCACTTCTGACGCAGTAGTATAGTGGCTAGCTCCTGCGTTGGGGTTTGGGATCTTAACAACTAGCTGCAGTCCGTCTTGCATGGTAACAAGAAAAGCCTTGTTAAAGTTTCCCTCTGGCAGCTTCGAGACGTTGATGCAAACCGCATTGTCTCCGGCGGCTTCCTGCGCAACTTGTATTAGAGCATTCAGGTTGAATGAAACATGTCTGCTTCGCAGCTGCTGTTCTTCATTCCAGATCCATCGCTGAGCTGAGTAGGTGTAGAGGTCCTCCACATTACAATCTAAGACCTTGTGAGCATGCGACATTTACTGTCATGAAGACACGATACCGGATATTTTTGTTTCAGAGATTTGCCCTGCCCGCCTCATAATAGACAGTGGTCGAGAAACAGTTGCATGTAAACGTAAATAATCAACAATAGAGGGGAAGCATGGTTTCTTTCCGATCCTTAATGGCATTTCAATTGTGATTTCTCACCAGGATGTAGGATTGTCATTCAGTTTTCAAGGATCCTGGCCTCGGACACTGTGTATCCCAGAATTATCACGTGATGCTGATGCCTTTGCGACTGCTGCACTGGGTAATTTCCCACTAGCTAGCTCCTTTGGCCAGAGAAAACCAACCACTGCTTGGCGGTGGAATCAGTGAATGAATACTTAATATTTCGCACGGAATGATAAATAATAGGTATCACATGTATGCTGATGGAATGTTTATATTAAGCCCAGCGGCAGTGTGATGTAGCTCTGTCTAGCACAAGTACAGAGTACCTTAGTATTATTAACCAATGGGCTCTGTAAAAATACCTTAACTTAGTAAGTGGGCGCTAAGGTACTAAGGAACTACCTATGTGATTTGGGCACAATGCAGCCTCATGCATGGTCATCACAGGCGGCTGTGTTTACCTAGTAGAGGGTATGATCTATTTAAGGATGCTACCATCATGTATAATGCTTAATAGAATCATGTTCCATATCTTCCCTGACATCAGAATTCTTCTATCTTAATCCTCTTCATTGACTCTATCACAACACTTGTAGGCAATTGCTAAAGGTACCACTGTCCATATATGTCAATTCATAAAATCCATAAGCATAAACTTATACGAAGACAGGATGGCGTCTACGATCAAGAGGGCTCTGCGGAGCTTGTTTGCTGAGGCAAAGAAAAGCGAAACAGCAATGAAAAAGATCCTCAATCCACCGCAGGACGACTCTTTTGCTGGAAGCCGTATCTATCCCGCGCGGCATAAGAAGAAGGATGAAGACTTTGGTATCCGAATCGACCGAGGACCATCTGTTAAGGACAAACCTAACATGGTCAATATCAATTTACAAATCAATTCGAATGCCGGAAAGAAGTCTCTGCAGCAGCTGGTCAAGAAGCATGGTTCCCATAAGAAGTTTGTGACTGTCCAGGTGGACTCACAACAGGAAGTGACGGCGGAAAATATGGACAAGCTTCAGGAAAAGATTGAATCTGAGATTGATAAGATAGATGGTATTTGATGTAAAGTATCAGTCCGACTATCCCAGTTCTTGCTGACCTTGTACCCATCGATAATCTCAGAGGAAGTTGTTGGCAGCCGTACAATAATAGCTGAGACGACCAGGAAGCATACACTGAGCTATCTTTGGTTTATAGCCACTGAGAAAGAGAGATGCGGATTGTTTAGTAATGGCTCGGGATAATAACTAGCTCTTGCATATGTCAGTCGCATAGTGACTACCTTACTCACTTGTTAATGAACAGCAGTCGCCTACCCCTCATCTGCCTCTGGCACTGACAATAATATAGAGTAGAAATAGGAGAAATGAATACCTCTTTAGCTTAGGGAGAACTAAGTAGTCACATCCAAATCACACATGTTTTTCTTCGCAATGTTATAACTTCCTAGAACCACAAGATAAAACTACTATCCCATAGGCTATAGCAAATCTAGATGAATTGGGATTCCTGATTACTCCCATTCTGATCCTTATTAGCTGCATTTCTGAGCTCTGTCATTAACTGCTTCCAGTAGTCTATCTATCCATCTGTGTCTGCTGTCACTGGTGTATCTCCGCTGTCTTTCCCCTCAGACCCGAAACTTTTCTTTTTTTTTATTTAATCTCGACGCTCCACCACCACACCAAGAAACCACCAAACGGACTCGTCCTTCACTACGGGCTACCTTAACTAAGGTACCTTGACCAACTACCTTACTACTAGCTCGGCCCGGGGCCTTTCTCTTCCCTTCTCTCACCTCTCGCTCTCGCTCTCTCCTCTCAATCTCCCCCTCCCCTCAATCCTCCTTCTCCTTACCCTTCAATTCCTTGTCCTGTTTTTTCTGCTTGCTCATTTTCTTATTTTTCTTTCTTTTTTTGGTTTGCATCTTAAATCACGACCAGATAAACTGTCGTGATTTAAGATCCTCTGCAGCTTTGCAGAGACTTTTTTTTCCCACTTCTTTCCCCCATTCACTCCCGTCCCGTTGTCCCCTTTCCCTCGCCGCTTCGTTGGCAGTGAGAGTGGAAAAGAGACAACAATCTGAGAGATGGCAACCGTCTCAGCACCTACCCCTAAGCTGGATCGCTACATTGTCATCCACGTCGCAACCACCTGCGATGAACATGGCGTCTACGTCACCAAAGATTCTGCAGAGGTGATCGAATTGGGGTGGATTCTGTTGGATACCAAAACCTGCGAGGAGGTGGGCTCTATTTTTCTGAATCAACAACACTCGGCCTTTTTCCCTCTCCCCTCCTCCTTGCGCCTCACTCCCCTTTTCCCCTCGCAGTGGCTAGGCCACCACCACCGCTGTCCGTCCGCATGTCGCTGACTTGGACTTTTGTTATCTCCTTAGCTTCATCGCGAAAGTGTTCTCGTCAAGCCCGTCAACACTCCCATTACGCCTCTTTGCAGTAAGTGGTTCTTTTCTTTTCTTTTTTTGTTTTAATCTATCCATCTACCCAATTTCAACCGAACACGCGTTCTTCTTGAATTTCGATCCCCCTGCTCCTGCACAGTTTCCCATTCACTGGATGCATCAGTCTGTTGGTTCAATGGCTGACAGTGTCTGACAGCAAGCCTTACAACTCTGACATGGGAACACGTCCGCTCGGCAGGTACCTTCCGTGACGCAATCAACCGCTTCGATGCCTTTGCCCAGGAACACCTCATCAGCAAGAATCTCGAGTTCGCCTTTGTGACGTTGGATTCGTGGGATCTCCGAGTGCAGTTGCCCCGTGAGGCTCGTGACAAGGCCGTCGTTCTTCCCCCATATCTTCAGCACTCACGGACCTTTGACCTCCGCACCGAGTACCAAAGATGGCAGACTCATCACCCCGAGTCTCTCCCTTTCGGTCCCAGCTCCCTTTCCAACATCTGCGCTGCGCTTGAAGTCGAACCTGTCCAGTCCTCCGCTCCGATCAAGCATAACCTCCCATTCCACCTTCAGGCATTGGCCCCCGCCTCTCCTCGCCGGGCAATGGAGGAGGCCATCACTTTGGCTCGCGTTCTCCGCGGATTGATTCGCAAGTCGCAGCCGCCGCACGAGCACCCGGAGATCTTGACTCGGCCCATGGATGCCAGAGCAGATGTTCGTGCCTTTTTGACAGAGCGCAGCAAGGTTCTCCATCTGAGCGGTCTGCCCCACGACACTACACAGTCGGAATTGGAAAGCTGGTTCACCCAGTTTGGTGGTCGTCCGATCGCTTTCTGGACTCTCCGGACGCCGGATCAACATAAGCCCACTGGCACGGGCTTCGCCGTTTTCTCATCCCACGAGGAGGTATGTACTCTTCAGCTTCTCCCTCTTTTGTCTTTTGCATGATCCTGACGCTGGATGGTAGGCTGCTGAAAGCCTCTGTATGAACGGCCGCGCCTTGAACGAGAAGGCCATCGAGGTTTCCCCCTCTTCCAGTCGTGTCCTGGACCGTGCTGCTGAGATCTTGACTCCCTTCCCGCCGTCCAAAAATCGTCCCAGACCGGGCGATTGGACCTGCCCCTCCTGTGGCTTCTCCAACTTCCAGCGCCGTACGGCTTGCTTCCGCTGCTCGTTCCCCGCAATGGCTGCTGCTCCTGACCCGATGGGTTATGGAGCTTACGGCTACGGTCCCCCATCCATGATGCCCTCGCACATGGGCCATGGCCACGGAATGGGCCACCCTCGTGGTATGGGTGGTAATGGTGGTGTGGTTCCCTTCCGTGCTGGCGATTGGAAGTGCGGTTCCGAGGGCTGTGGCTATCACAACTTCGCCAAGAACATCAACTGCTTGCGTTGCGGTGCTCCTCGCTCCGGGGCTGCCGTTGTCGCTGACTCTGCGTTCCCCTCCCCCATGGACCCTCCGGCTGGGTTCGGCATGGGCCCCAGCTCCATGACCAGCACCCCTGCTCCTGGTCCCTTTACTTCGGCAGCTGGTGGATTTGGCGGTTTCAACCAGCAATTCGCAGCGCCCCCCAACAACTATGCTTTGCCTTCAGGTCTCGGTAGCGCCCCTGGGGCCTATCCACCGATGGGTCAGATGAATGCCGGCTATGGCTCCACCAATGCCTCGCATACCACCTCATCTTTCTCCAACCCCGCCACCCAGGCTGCTTTCAGTGGAGCTGATCACACCACCACGACGAGCGCCTCGAATGGCGGATTCTATGCGACAGACGGGTCAAATGACCCCTTTGCCTTCCTTTCAACTGGCTTGGGCGGCTTGACCGTATCTGACGACGCCCACTCCCGCCGTAATGGCACCGGCGCCAGCAAGTCCCCTGCTTAAATAAAGCGGGTACACCTCTTGGGTAACGCCGAGACCACAGATGGTTTCTCATCAGCCCGATTCCCCCTCGCCTCAGTGGTTTGTCAATATGAAGGTCTGAGTCTGTTGGTATATGTAACGGTTGATATTCGTTGACTGCGTTTGTATAAGGGAATCTGCAGTTCTGGTGCATAGGTTGGGAGGAGCAGGCCGGTAGCGTGTCGTCGTTTCATCCTCGTGTTTGTTTTTGTTAATCTTTCACATTGTCTCGCAGCCTTTCTGGTCCACCACTTTTCGGCATGTTTTACTATTGCGTCTTTGGAAGCGATGTTTGAGGGTATAGAGAACTGTCTTTGGTACAGCCGAATGGCAGATGGGCAAAGGGGCGCTTTTATTCGTCGATTGTCCTCGACTGGTTTTGATCATCATCCTTCACTTTGGGTCGGTTTGAGCTTCGCGCATTCTTCTCATGGGGCATATTTCGACGGAGCTTCTTTTGTTCTCCAAGCGCATGACTTCGGTCGAGCATTGCAACCAGTGGTGGACGCTCAAACTTGGCATTGCATTCTAGATATTGCTGTTTCTTCTGCACTCGGAATTACTGGAGAATCATGGTATTGATTACGGATGGGATACAATGGGATGGACTCTCGTTGGGGGTGTTGGGGTATTTCTTCTGCGTCAGCAAAATTTCAACACATTTGGGACACATGTGAGGCACAAAGATCGGGTATTGCGAGTGCAAGAAGATTGTTCTATATGTCTATAATTCCTTCCTTCCCATTATGTTGTCTTTTGGCCAACATTGTTTAAAATATGAAAAGTCGATGTTATGCTGTAAACCAACTCTTGAGGATTGCTTTGGCACCAGCACAGCTAAGCCGCTAATCAGCTGTTCCAAGCATTCGCATACTTCCAATTATATGTAGAATTCATTATTTCCAGCTGGTTAAAACGATAGAATGGCTGTTTAATAAGTTTGGACTGACATATATCTGTCATGGAAGCTTGGTTGATGTAGCAAATAGCCGCGCGCCAAGCGTCTGGGAGCTCTGAGGCAACCGCGGGACTCGCGTTCACCTCTATCCCGTCATCACCCCAAGGTCGGAGATACAATCCTCAGCATTCAGCGAACAACATTACGAGCCATCCACTTACGTCCTTGCCAAACCTTTCTATCGCCATTTCTTTCATTCTGTACCTATCTCCTCTGGACGCAGCACTTCTCACAGCTCACAATGTCGGGATATGACCGAGCTCTTTCAGGTAAGGCAGCTTAGCTACCCTAGCTTCTTGCATCATTGTTCTAGAGGACAACTTATTCTGACAGAGATGTAGTGTTCAGGTATGCGATGGTATATGTTAGAGCTCTAGAAACAGCTTTCTGACCATAGTAACAGCCCCGACGGGCACGTCTTCCAGGTGGAATATGCCATGGAAGCTGTGAAGCGAGGTAGCTCAATCTGTTCTTCTGAAGCTCCCAACGTGATACTGGACAATCTCACGCTGACCCATTTCTGCGCCGAACAGGAACCTGCGCCGTCGGAGTAAAAGGCAAAGATGTCGTCGTCCTGGGCTGCGAGAAGCGGTCTGCCCTTAAGCTTCAAGATACCCGCATCACACCGTCGAAGATTGCCCAACTGGACAACCACGCCGTTCTCGCTTTTGCCGGACTGAACGCCGACGCCCGTATTCTCATTGACAAGGCCAGATTAGAAGCCCAGTCGCACAGACTGACCGTCGAGGACCCCGTTACCATTGAATACATTACCAAATACATTGCTAGTGTGCAGCAACGGTACACGCAGAGCGGCGGTGTCCGGCCTTTCGGTATCAGTACTCTGGTTGTAGGATTTGATCCCAATGATAAGGTGCCTCGACTATACATGACCGAACCTTCGGGGATCTACTCTGCTTGGTAGGTGGCTTCTTGGCTTGAGGCGAGTGACTTTGTTGGGTTAGGAATCTTGCTGACTTGGACACTTACTCTACAGGAAAGCAAATGCTATTGGTCGTTCCAGCAAGACGGTGCGCGAGTTTCTTGAGCGGAATCACCAGGACGATATGGACCGGGAACACACGATCCAGCTTACCATCAAGTCGCTGCTGGAGGTGGTGCAGACCGGCGCCAAGAACATCGAGGTGGCCATCATGGCTCCCGGCAAGACGATTGAGATGTTGCCTGACGACCAGATCGAGGCCTACGTCAAGAACATAGAGACGGAGAAGCAAGAGGAGGCCGCGAAGAAGAAGACTGGCCGGACTGGGACCACAACGGCGGCCATCCTGACGCGGCCCGGCGGCGGAGAGACTGGCGAGTCGACCCGGGAGTCGGCTGACTGAGACTCCATACGGGCCATGTGCAACTACGAGACCTGACTACCACTTTTCTCCTTTGAATTCATGAGACTTGCGCAGCGTCATGCCCCTGAAGAAATGTGCACTATATTGTAGAACCAACGAGTGTGTGCAACAGGTAGTCTATAGTGAATCTGTTTGGATGGGGAGAATATGCAAGCATTAGATCGTAATTTTCGTAAACCATCGTGATCGATCCAACTCAGCCTAGCCGATCCGATATATCCTTGAAATTGAATATCGACTTTTCCTGGTGTTCCCGCACACGGTCGTCCTTGATCATTCTAAAGCGCGAAAGTCAGCACCATCCCATGGAACCGCATACAACAATCTTTCAAAGGGGGCACCAGACGAAATAAACGTACCTAGAATTAATCCGAGCATCATCACCCTCAACCTGCAACGCAGCCTTGGGCGTCACAGCGTCGATCACAAAGTGGTTATCGCAGTGCGGGCAGTACTCGTCACTACGCGTAATCATCAGCACCTGACATCCTCGCCTGAGAGCCCTCGGGAGTCACAAGCGCACTCTCCGGGCACGCTGGCCATTGAGCATGAACACACCTCTCATCGAACTCCGTCGCGTCCTTCCGGAAACACTTCTTGCACTTTTTACATGCGAATATCTAGGGATAACGGTTTAGAGGCTGATTTCGCGGGTAGCGGGGTGTTGTGGGAATACCATCTCGGTGGATTTGGTGAGCGGGTGGGTTTCTTGTTCAAGGTGGCATTCGGCGCAGTCGAACCATTTTCGGCCTGGCAGGATGAGGATGGTGAGTATTGAGGATAGCTCTGGGTTTGCGAATGCGTGTGGTGTGGTGTGGTGTGGCTTACAGCAGGGAGAGCGGATGGCTACTTGGGCGTTGAGGACGTGTTTGCTGTGCGGTGGTTAGAGGGAGTATACGGTGGTGGTGATCGGAATGGGACGTACCACATTGTGAGGAGTAAATGAGGGTGATATGGAATGGGAGTGAGGAAGGATAGTACGGAGTATATCTATAGTCTCTCGGTACAGAGACTGACTAGATAATTGATTGAGATCAAAAGAAAGGAAGCTAAAAATAAAGGTCACTGTCTTGGCTGATAGAATCAAACTACGGAGTATGGACGGAGGTACTGTCAGTGATGGATCGGATCGCAATTGTTGGGTTATCGTGGGTTATCATTATGGATTGATATTGAGGAGAGATAGATCTTCATTCCCTTCCTTTTCATCTCTGACCATTTCCCTTCCACTGCTCTGCTTTGCTTCATTAATGCTCCCCCACTTGTTAATCGTCATCCCTTTGACTCTGCACACGCTTTTGCACCGCCCCCTGTCTCCTTCTGGTCGATCTTCATCCTCGCCTTTTCCGCGAGTGCTCATCTCCAGCTACTATCTAAGTATAACTCCAGCTGCGGCTCAAGGTCTTCGTCAGATGACTTCTGGACGGTCATTTCTCCTGCTTAGTTTTGCTTTCTCGATCCGTTCTCGCTCATTTATACCCAACGACCTGCACCTGACTTTTTGACCTCCCCGCCACAATATTTACTTCGAGTCTCTTCTCGGCTACTTGTCCCGACTCTCGATACCGAACGTCGACATAGAATAACATTACACCGGACGCAAGGTTCGAGGTTCGATAAAGGCCTATGATTGATATCTCCCCGCCCTTCCTGCGCGCGATCTCTCGTTGTGGTCATGGAGGGAAGCGGCAAGGACAAGGACGGCACGGATAATGCTCCCATTGTATGATTTGCGCTTCCTGTGCGAGTATGTGGGCATCTTTTACTGATCCTGAAAATTTCTCCAGAGGCCGGTTTCCTCCCTTCTGTCACATTTCGAGAACCTGTCCCATCGCCGATCACCATCCGCCTTCACAGCTACCAGTCCGCATGATTCGACTCCCTTCCTGAGGACGCCCGAACCTGTCGATGAAGTGCGCTCTGCGCGCGCTTCTCTCGACCTTCCGCGGCCTCAATCCCCGTGGAATGCGACGGCAAAGCCTCAGAACGGCCACCGGTACGACCGGGCAAATGGCGGATTCTCAAGGGGAAGCGGCTCCCCGGGAAGATCTCCAGGCAGGAGGCAGAGCAGACCCATGTCGATGAACTTCCACTCGTCGCCGCAACTGGCACCGACTTTGACGGTCGACTCGCCGCGATCACCTCCGCGTGGATTTGGATCCCAAAACCACGCTGAGCATACCGTCAACTCCAGGATGTCCCGCAGTCCCCCGGACCCCTCTCGGGGCTCATTGCCGCCGCCGAGCAACCGACCGACAACGCCCAATTCCTCGACGTCACAGCAGCTGCCTGGTCATTTGTCGCCAGCGCATTCTCATTCCGGAAGCTTCATCGGTGAGAGTCCGCCCGATCGAAAGCAAAAAAGCTCTTCGTTGCCTCCCCCAATCGATCGGGCGGAGAAGCCGAAGGTCCCTGCGAAGCCGGCAGCCTTAGCTTCCCATGAGAGCGCAACTCTGGCACCCAGGCCCGAGAGGACAGCGTCGGAGGATCGGATATCACCGTTCAGCACGCCACCAAGCAGTCCCGAGAAGTCGTCCGTAAAACCGTCGTCTTGCGGACGTCCGCAGATGCCACGCTCTCCATCTCGGCCGATGACTGAACCCCCAAGTCGTCAATCGTTCGATGAAAGGAACCCCGTGCCGTCTGTGCATGCTCTTCGGGATGCGCGCGAGCTTGGGTTTTCACGCAGGAGACCCATCCCGGAACCGACGCGGGACATGAAACCGTTAATGGTACAGGTCCCTCCACATCCATTGAAGCAGACGGAGCCCTTGTCGGCTGCGCCGTTGTCAGCTCGCAGGCTTCAAGCGACCGATACTCCGACCGAGCCTCCCAGCCTCCCGCCACGGCAATCGTCCTTGGCGCAAAGGGGTGGTGCGTCTCCGTCTCGTCCGTCACTTCATCTGGACGGCCCTTCGCATCCTGAACCATCGCCTAGACCGCAATCATTCCAACTGCCCCCAAGGGAGATCCAGACACCCACGCAAATTCACCGACAGCCGTCGTTCTCCAGAGACGCTAAGCCAGGGCAGGCATCTTCTGTTCCTGAGCGGCAATTGGCCCGTGCGGACTCATTCGGACAGGATCCCGTGGACGAACCGGCTATCTCGCGGACTGACTATCCTGACGCATCAACAACTAATCGTCGACCGCCTCTTCTTAAAAACGGACCGAGGGAGATCCATACAAGATATGACACTCGTTTGATGGATGTATGCGGCAAGCATGTGTGTACAACAGGTTATTTAACGCGGGTATGGGACCTCACCAACGGAGAACAAATCATGAGTCTCAGCCACGGTGAGACTGTGAAGAGTCTATCGATTGCATTCAAGCCAGGTACCGGCCTGGAGGATGAGGGTCAGCGGCTATGGCTGGGCATGAGCACAGGAGAAATCCATGAAGTGGACATCTCCACTCGATCCATTGTAGCAACACGCTCCTATCCTTCGCGTCGTGAAGTGATCAAAATCCTCCGACATAAAAAGGAGATGTGGACCCTTGACGACGAGGGACGACTGCTCGTCTGGCCGCCTGACGAGTCTGGGACTCCAAATCTTCAATACAGCTACCATAACCCTTATGACCGTGTCGCCCGGGGACATACATACTCGTTGGTTGTCGGAGATACACTATGGCTGGCCGCCGGCAAGGAGGTCCACGTATATCAGCCAAACGCACGTGACGATGTCTCATTCAAGGTTTTGAAGAAACCACTGGGCTCGCAGCACACTGGTGATGTAACGTCCGGTACCTATACGACGAGAGATGGGGGACGTGTGTACCTGGGCCATGCGGATGGCAAGGTTACCGTGTACTCTTCCACAGATTACGCTTGTCTAGCAGTCGTCAATGTAAGCGTTTACAAGATCAACTGCTTAGGCGTGGTCGGTGATTATCTTTGGGCGGCGTATAAGACCGGCATGACCTATGTCTACGACACGAGTACCAACCCGTGGATGGTTAAGAAGGATTGGCGAGCGCATGATGGTCCAGTCTCTAGCTTCCTACTGGATTTCAGTAGTGTCTGGACCATGAATCGTCTGCAGGTGACCTCGTTAGGAGACGACAATTGCATTCGTCTCTGGGATGGAATGCTGGAGGATGATTGGCTGGGTAAGTTGATATTCTCCATGTTAGATGGACGAGAAGTGAAAACTAACTTCAACAGAAACCCGCATGCAGAGCAGGGACGTAGAATTCTGCAAGTTCCGTGAGATGTCGGCAGTAATTGTGACATGGAATGCTGGGGCGTCTACGCCAGGTAGTGTCCGCTCCAGCAACTTCATTCAAGAGGCAATTCATCCCGAGAACCCACCCGATATTTTGGTCTTCGGCTTCCAGGAGCTTGTGGATTTAGAGAATAAGAAAATCACAGCCAGTGAGTATAAGTCTGAGCTGCCTCACTTGTGCATTTTACTGATTCGTCTTTTAGAAAGCTTGCTGTTGGGAAGCAAGAAGAAAGAAGGCGGAGAGAAAGAACATATGAGCCGTCAGTACCGGGTATGGATGGAGCATTTGACTCGCTGTATCAACGACTGCATGCCCCTCGAGGAGTCGTATGTCCTTCTTCATTCAGCGAATCTCATTGGTCTCTTTACCTGCGTCTTTGTCAAGCACAAGGAACGACAGAGGATCAAGAACATCGGCGCTGCAGAGGTGAAGCGGGGTATGGGAGGATTGCACGGAAACAAGGTATGTATTTTGAGGGACTGCTCTGATTTTGGTCCGTTTACTGATTGCGTAGGGTGCCCTGATTCTTCGCTTCATACTGGACGATAGTTCTTTCTGTTTCGTGAATTGCCATTTAGCAGCCGGGCAGTCACAAACAGCGCACCGCAACAATGACATTGCAGCCATTCTCGAGTCCGAAGTGCTTCCGGTAGAGAACAGCCTTACCACTCGGGCAAACCACTTTGTCAGCGGCGGTGATGGCACGATGATTATGGATCATGAGATTTGCATTCTAAACGGTGATCTTAATTACCGGATCGACTCAATCCCACGGAATGTGATCATCGAGGACATTCGCAATAACAACCTCGCGAAGTTGCTTGAACGAGACCAGCTGCTGGCATCGAGGCGCAAGAACCCCGGCTTCCGGCTCCGGTCATTCACGGAGGCACCCATCACGTTCGCGCCGACGTACAAGTACGATGTCGGCACGGACGAATACGACTCGAGTGAGAAGAAACGATCCCCCGCGTGGTGCGATCGTGTACTCTACAGGGGGCTAGGTCGGATCAAGCAGCTGGAGTACCGACGACACGAAGTCCGAGCCTCCGACCATCGGCCTGTGAGCGCATCGTTCAAGCTCCGCGTCAAGACTGTGCTACCGCAGGAACGTGCCGCGGTGTGGGAATCATGTCAGCAGGAATTCCAAAAAGAGAAGCGCAGGCTGGCTTCTGAAGCTAGGTAAGCTATCCCACTCTGTCTTTCTGTTTCGTTCTTGCTAACCTTCGTAGCATTGAATACCTGATCAGTGTCTTAGGGACAGATCCTCAGCAAGCACGATCATTGATTCTGGGCACGGGCACTCAATGAGCCATTGCTCGATATTCGCCTTCTCCACTTTTTCTTGCATGGCATTTCTTCTATGGTGATCGGCTTCTTTGGTACAGGTAAAAGTTGGTCAGGAAAGCGAGGTGTATAAGACGGTCTGCTGCGTCTGCGGTGTTGTTGCTGTTGTACGACTAATGATTTCACGATAGACATGTATCATGAAGAGAGCCCTGGGTGGTAGATAGATTCACTGCTGTGCAGGCAGGTGATTAGACAACTGCATTCTGATCATAATCTTCCATTATACTATTTCATGCAGATATCATGACACCTACAGACCTTGGTAATACCCCAGTCTTGACCACAAGGAATACACTCGACTCCATACATCAAGTCAGAATACGCGGACTTCTCCCGACAATAAGTCC